CAGAAAGGTGAACTTAAAGGTGGTAATAAGACAAGGGGTAACAGGTTAAAACTTAAACAGGGGAAATTTAGATTGGATATAAGGAGGAAATTCTATCCTGTTAGGGTGGTGAGGCACTGGAATGGGTTGTCCAGGGAGGTTGTGAATGCTCCATCCCTGGCAGTGTTCAAGACCAGACTGGACAAGGCCTTGGGTGATACGGTTTAGTGTGAGGTGTCCCTGCCCGTGGCAGGGGGGTTGGAACTGAATGATCTTAAAGTCCTTTCCAACTCTAACTATTCTATGATTCTATCATAGACCTAGAAATAATACCTTTAAATACCATTGCCAATGGCCTCTGCAGGAACCAGGGTGCAAACGAACAGGACATTTAATCTCAGCTGGCTGATAGACGGTTTGTACAGCAGTAATCCATACAGCAGTGAAGAGTTAGAGCAGTGAAGCGTCTTAGAAATCAGAATGTACTTATGGATTTAAAAGGTGCTGTGGTTATCAAACCGTGCCCACAGCTGCAGAGGAGGAAGGGTTTGTACTGAAACAAAAGTACTTTACAGGGTTGACCTTCTACAACTGCCAGTGCGCGCCAATGGCCAGTGTTCTCTGTAGGTCTCATGTGAGGGGCTTTTGGAGCTAGTCTTAGGTTGTGGTTAACATTAGCATTTAAAAAGGTCTCTTCAGACAAGGTTGTCTTGAGAACTTTGATTTGGTTTGAAAGCTTAAGTCTGGGAAGGCAGTGGAGAAGGTGAAAGAGGTGATGTGGCCATTATGGAAGTGCAGGTTTGAAGTACTTTGCTTGGTCTACATCCACAATTGGAAGCTAGGAACAAACCCATCAGTTTTCGCTTGCATCCTTTCCATCCCTCTAGGTGTAAAATGCTGAATGCAGTCTTGTAAAGGAGCAGACAAAGGTGGAGAGTGGATAGATGGGTGTATGCTCTTGTATGCAATTAATTTTCCATGGTAATTATTTTTATTATTTTAACTGCTCTAAGATTAAAGCCAGCATAAACAGGAAGGAGTAGATACTTTGAGTCTCCTGAAGGCTTGGTAGCCTTACAGGACTTGGAGGCAGTGTGGAGTAGGTGGATGAGCGATCTGAACATTCAGTGTCTCCGTTCCCTTTATTTTGCCAGACCAATTTCCTTTGCTAAGTCAGAGCACAGGCAGAGTAATAATTGGTTCTGAAGTACCTTGTCTGGGAAACCGCTGCAGCTTCTGTTGGAGAACGACTTGCTGGCTGCATGGGGTCTGCTCTGGGGCCACACTGAGCTGAGCTGTGAGTGTGTGAGCAGGCAGTTGAGGCCAGCCTAAATCATAGAATTGTTTAGGTTGGAACAGACCAAGATCATCAAGTCCAGCTGTTAACCCAGCACTGCCAAGTTGGCTACTACACCGTGTCCCTGGGTGTCTCATCTACAGGTCTTTTAGATACCTCCAGGGATGGTGACTCAGCCACTTCCCTGTGCAGCCTGTTCCAGTGCTTGACAACCCTTTTGGTGAAGAAATGTTTCCTAATAGTCAATCTAATCCTCCCCTGGTGTGACTTGAGGCCATTTCCTTGAGCAATCGGAAGCGATTAGAGCCCTAGAAGTGGTTAATTTCTGCTTGTTGAGGAGATGCCCTCTCTAGGATAGAGTAGACTAGAAACCTTTCCAAGCATTTTGAGGGAGCCAAGTTTCGAAGTTGGGTGCTCCCAACTCCCAGAACAGTATCTGTGTCCTGCTGCAAGATTGGTAGTTTGAGGCCTGCCATCTTGCTGGATAAGGTGTCCTTGCAGTTGGCTGGAGTCTCCACTGCCCTTGTGTATGGCAGACAGGAGAGTGATGGTGGAAAGTCAGCATGGGACAGCAGAGCAGTAGGGTAGCTTTTGTTGGGTAGCAGCTAACTTGAGAAAACGGGTTTAAAACACTGGTTTATCCTTCCTGAATGACTTTATTGGCATAGGAGGTTATAACCAATTAGCAAGTTACTTTAGTCATTGGCTTACAACTCACATAGCAACATACAGTCTTGTTTCACTGAGTCTATGAGTTAAAATTACCTTTTCATGGCATAAATCAATGCTTGCTGACCAGTAAAGAGATACTGTGATTTATTCCCCCTCCCCCCCAAGATAAATTTTATTAATTATGGCTCAAACCCACTGAATTGAGCATAGGGTTGTCTTAAGACAGTTAAAATACCCATGTTTGTGGTGGCTGCTCTGGCACTAGAAGCTGTGTGGCTTTCGGAGAGGTTTGTTGCCTTGGTGTGTGAGCTGACTCTTACCTTCACTGTGGGCTCTGTACTGGGGCAAGGGCTGATAAGTGCTGTATGCTGGAAGCCTGCATACAGCCCGCTCCAGAATGCAACTGAGCTAAACTTCATGACTGTCAGTGGCCAAAGACTGTGTCATATAAGTTGGTAACAGCAAAGCCCTGCACCTTCGTGGCTCGCTATACTATTCTAGGAAGTGGTTTGTTTGCTTGCCTGGTTTGAAGACCCTGGTTTGTGTTTTGCATCTTTCTTGTGTATTTTAGACTGTGTGAACTTTTCTGAAGTCCTGTTTTTCTGCACAGTTCCTCACAATAAACCCAGAAACTTCAGAGCTGCATAGGAAAGTCTGTGCCAGGATTTTGTGTCTTTACTTTATTCTTAAACTTTTTTTTTTTTGTGAGCACAGTCCATTCCTGTCATAACTCAGCAGGATTTTGGTCCATTAACCCTATCCTACTGCCCATAATGGAGTTTTGCTTGGCTTTTCTGATTAGCCGGAGGCTTGGGATTAGATAGATTTTCACATTTGCTAACTTCCTATTTCATATCTTGTGATTTGCAAGGCTTAACCTCCCTGACTTGTTAACGGATCACAAACCACCTGCTTCTTTACACTAATCCGTCAGAAATATGTGACATAGCTCTGACTTGAAACTCTCCAGATTGGTTCCCCAGGGTAAAAAGCGCAGAAGGATCAATCCCAGCCTGAACAAACTGCTTAGTTACACTTCCCCTGCTTTTCGACAAGATTAAGTCTCCAACCATGGCTGGTTGTCTTAACTACTGAGAGTTTGGTGCCTTTATTGCCTTGGCCTTCAGGTATGCTTAGACCTGTGCAGCAGTGTGCACTGCCTGCCTGGAGATATTGGTGAGGTCTGTGGGTGAGGTGCTGCAATACATGTCTGGGGTGTCTCAGCTTTTGCCTGGCTGTTTGGCTGCTTCAGGCCATCTCCTCTACTTCTCTGTGTTGTCTGTTTCTCCCCTGAGCGATGTCTGTAGCCTGGCACAGGCTGTAGCGTTGTGGGCAAGCCCCAGCGCAATGGTGATGTGAGTGAAGTCCCCAGTGCGGCGAAAGCTGCTGGCAGGGGAGCAGGGGCATCCCGCAGCACTCCCTGGCACTGCAGCAAAGGAAGAGCTGGTGCTTTCCAAGCTCTGGCAGTGTGTACTAGCAGAGGGATGGGCAAACCCCACCATTTCTATTTTAGAGGTGAAGTGAGAAATAGGGCACAAGGTCACCAGAGCAATTCCTGTTCTACCTCCTTGTACTCATATAACAGAGATGCTTTTGGGAGGTACAGTCAGGGCCATGCGTTTTCTGTTACTCGTCACTGCTGCTCTCTGCTATCAGACAAATGCTGTTACATGAGGATTTAAACATTGTGTGTGGGGTGTTTGTGGAGAGAAGGAGGAGGCTCCTGTACCCAAACTGTCCCAGGCTGGTTGTGATGGGCTGAGGCACCAAAGCAATGCGCTGTGAACAAGATTAGTGGGGAAGGGGGGCTGCTTCTCCTTCACTCCCCTCGCTGTCAGCAACTGTTTTGCTCCCAGTGCAGGTGATTATATGGCTTATAAAGGGTTTGGTACTGCTTGCTTTTGCAGTTCATCTTGCTGAGAGATTTCTGCAAGCCTCCTGAGCGAGTTGTTTATTCAGGTATATCCTTTGGGTCAATAGTTTTTGACGTCGTATGTCTCACTTCTCAACTGGCTAACCACTTCTTGTGTTGTACTCAGCTGTTTCTGTCCTGTCTAATATTACAGCCAGGCACAGACATTTAGCCCCTCTACCTCCCCTTCTTCCCACCCCCTTCAGAAAGTTCTCCTCTTTCCTTCTTCCTGACTTTCTTAGTCTGTTCTAGACATGCTGGTTTGGTGCCCAGTACATCGGGTCGCTTTTATGGCAGGGGAGATAATCCATTAGGGCTGTTGGGTAAACTTTCATGGTAAACTGTCATGGTTTAACCTCGGCTGATGGCTAAGCATCATAGAGCTGCTCCCTCGCTCCCCCAACCCACCAGAGGGATGGGGCAGAGGATTGGAAGAGTAAAACTGAGAAAACTCATGGGCTGACATAATCTAATGGGACAGAAAAGGAAGAAAATAATAATGATGATGATGATAATAATGATAAAAGAATTAGCATATACAAACAAATGATGCACAGTACAATTGCTCACCACCTACTGACTGATGCGCAGCCAGTTCCCCAGCAGCTGCCCTTGGCCAGCTTTTCCTCTAGTTCATGTACTGCACACGACGCTATATGGTATGGAATATCCCTTTGGCTAGTTGGGGTTAGCTGTACTGGCTGGCCAGCTTCTTGTGCCCCTCTGGCCTCTCTGGACAGGCATATGAAGCTGAAAAGTCCTTTCCTTATTACACTGCTTAACACACTGTTGGTTTTAGTTGTTGCTATCAACATTATTCTCATACAAAATCCAAAACTCAACACTGTACCGGCTACTGGCAAGAAAATAAACTTTATCCCATCTGAAACCAGGACATTAAGCTTTCTGTCCAGCTTAAGCAATCAGAGACTCCTCAACATGGGAGAGACTTGTGATTCCCCTCTGGGCTGCTCTTTTCCTGTGATTTCTGGTTAAGCCCAGCTCAGTCTATGAGATGAGGGGATGAAACAGCTTTTTGGGGCTGCTTTTGCTGCTGTTCTGCCAGCAAGGATAGCTCTTTAGTTTTTTTGATGTACATGGTCCTATCAACTGTTTTGTTCTTGTGTTTCCTCCTTCTAGGTGTGTCGTTGTGCTGTTCAACCCTAGGAAAAATAAGCAACACCATATTCTAAACAGTTCCAGGTGAGTGAAGCTTTAAGCTGGGCCTGCTTTCTGTGGGAGGTGAATTCAAAGGTTTTATGGCTTGAGTGAAGTGCAGGAGCTGCTGTTGCTCCAGGCTAAATCCCCTCAGTGAGAGCTGCCCTGGGAAGAGGCAGCCTGCTGGTTTGGCTGCAGCTCCTTCTAATGTGAGGTGCTCTTGCTAACAAGGTACCACCTCAAAAACGTTGTGGTCCCATGAGGAACTGCTAATAGGCATGACATGGAGATCTTACTAGAACTTAATGCTAGCTGGCTTTCTTTTAGCCTCCACCTAAAACTGTGGCCTCATTATTGAAGCCAGGACTGAAACATGGTCCCGCATCTGCAATAGAGGCACAAAGATAAACCTCGACTTATGGAGCTTTTCTGGTACTGTAGGCATGCTGCTTGAGACTTGGGCAGCAGGGAGTCCCCATAGCAAGTGTTAGAGCTGTTACGTGTGATTTTAGCCTCTTTCCAGTTCGTCCCAACCTACTCCCCAGTCCTAATGTACTGAAATGAGATCACATGTTGGAAGTGTTTCTCAGTGTCATTTTCTCTCTTTTAGGAAAACAATTACAGCACTTGCTTTCTCTCCAGATGGAAAATACTTGGTTACAGGAGAGGTAAGTGTGAGAGGAGAGAGGGCACACCTTGTCCATCACATTTTGAAGTGGGGCAGGAGGGTGTTAGAAGAAACAAGAGTTGCCTTGACACAGATAAACCTATTTCAGTGTTGCATCTCTGGGTGGACTGAAAGTTGAATGAAAATAAGTGGAAGTTCACACAGCATGGCTCTACACTAGCATCAGTGAAGAGTACTTGGATGGTGCTTAATCTCAGTCTCAGGTTAGCATTGTCCTTTTAGGATTTAGGAAGTAACTGAAGCCAGTAACAGTGTTGTGGAAAAAGTGAAAAGTGTATGTGGAATGGAGCTTTAGGAACAGTGACAGAAGATGCTGGTGCCTGTGGTTTGGCATTGCATATTTGGCTGGGGGAGACAACTGATTCCCCTTTCCAAGCGTGGCCAAGGGGGAGAATGAGGATGAGTGCACTGTGTGTCTGTTTTGCATTAGAAGTTCAAGACACAGGCTGTGCCATGAGGCTGGAATTGCTGGACGTTAGAAATCCACAGGAGTGCTGACTGTCCCCTGTATAGTTGGGCTCATCCCTAGTGCAGCCCCATGGTGGCAGCTGTCATGTCACTAGGTGGCTCCCAGGCTGGGCCTGAATCCTGAATGGATCAGGCCAAGGATAGAAACGACTGTTTTGGGATGGAGGCTACCTTTGACACTGAAAAAGTAAGCACAAGTACCCATTAGAACATCAGAGACTGTGGTTGTTACTAACTTTTTTAGTGAAAGCATGAGGTTTTATGGCTATAATTTGTTTTAATGCCTCCTTACTTTCTAGAAGTCTTAATGTAGTGAAACCTCTTTATATTAGAATTATATATAATACATATTTTTTTTCTCCCTGGTGTTCAGTTCTGATTATTCTGGTGCCTTCTTTCCTTTATCCTTTACTTTTTTTTAACGTCTGGTGTGCTATTCCTTTCATGTGGGGTAGAAATAGTGGTAAAAAATGAAGTGGGTATTTTTCTTTCTAACAAACTTTTCAGTTTGGAACATCATTGGGGTAAATGGCAAGTTCAGGTTTAAAAAAAGAAGAAAAAGCCTTTCAAGTTATGCTTGAAAAGCTTTTACTTTTTTACCTTGTTACAAAACATGTCTCCTCTTGCCCTGTTGTAAAGCCATTTCTCTTTTCAGTATCCTCCCACGTGTCTGACGTTTGAGTTATTACTTAGTGTAGCAGTGTCCCCTGCCGGTATCAGCAGTCTTGTCTTGGTTTAACCTCTGTCCCATCGGGAAATGCTTTCTGAGTTCAGTTTGTCAAGCTCAGTTTTAGCTGCCTCATTCCAATTCTGGTTACTAACACCTTAGTTTTGTGCATGGCTGGCTTTTTAGGAAGGAGAGCAGGGAGGTTAGTCCTTGGCTGCCATATTAAATGACATATTAAATACATAAAAGACATATTAAATGTCTTAATACATAGTAGACATGTTAAATACACAAAAGACATTAAATACATAAAAGACATATTAAATGTCTTTTATGTATTTCAGATCTTTTCCTTCTTTTTTGTCTTGCATTTTTTCTTTGTTCCCATGGAGGCACACATTCCTCATCCATGGGGATTACACACAGCTCACATTTGGTGATGATGAAATACAAATTCAATTTGTTAAGGTCTTGGGGTCTATGCTGAGATACTGGGAAATATATAAATATATAAATATGTACAGCAATTGCTTTGAAGAGCAGCTGATTCAGCTCATGGTAACATCTTGGCAAACACCTTGAGACCTGACCTTTGCCTGGCAGGAGGGAGAACTGCAGTAAAATCTAGCCATGGTGTTTTTCCAGGCCACAAGCGGTGATAAAACTTGGCAAAGCTTCTGAACAAGACAATTAAAACCTGTGCAGTTCTGAGTTTTTAAAGCTTTGACTTCTCCTTGAGATCAGACTTGTCACTCCCACACCGTCATTTGTCTGACTTAAAATTGATCAGAAAACGTACCATGTTGCCATGGATATGTTATTTTGCAAGCTACGGTTTTGACAGACTTCAGTGAGAAACCATGAGCAGGCTCCTGAGTAGGCTTTGCCCCTCAGGCGTATTTTTAGCCAGCATTTCAGCTCATCTTGTGCGCCTTGCTTTATTTTGGTTCAATAACAAACAGACAAACACAAGAGCAAAATTGTCTGTCAGAAGGTGCTGAATTGGCATTTCTGAAGGCTGTGACCTGTTTCTCTGGAGAACAAGTGTAAAACCAGAGGCTCTGCTCCCTCACTATCTTTCTCTGTCACTACCCTGCCCATACCCTTTCAGGCAGCATGCATCTGTGTTACCTTTGTAAGAAATGACATTGCTGTTCTCCCAGAGGCCTCCCTCAAACAGTGTGTGATAGTTATCACAACAGTCATGTCGTATTTTTACGTGGCGTGACCTGGCTTGAGATCTCAAATGATCATGTTGTGTTAGGAGCAGAGGATGTGGGGGCATTTTGGTTCACTGAATCTGGAGATGCCATCTTATAATCCTTTTAATGATCTGGCTGTGAGTTCCCATTGCAAAGGGCAGAGATGTGCATCAAAAGTATTGTTCTAGTCTCTGGCTGTTCTGTGAGTAGGAAGGGAGATGTACTAATTCTTCCATTATGAAATGCATATACTCCTTAGGTTGTTGAAATGCATGTGCCCCTTATGTTGTCAGCCTCAACCTGGGCTTTAAAGAGTCAAAGGAACCTTTAAACGTATTGTGAACACACCATCTAGACACCTTTTTCCAGTCCCCACATATTTACATGCTCGAATCTGCCAGAACTGACCTCAGGGGTTCTGTTCCTGTTTTCAGTCTGTTCTTATCCTTCCAGAGTGGACACATGCCAGCGGTTCGGGTATGGGATGTGGCCGAGCGAACCCAGGTGGCTGAGCTCCAGGAGCACAAGTATGGTGTGGCCTGTGTGGCCTTCTCCCCCAGCTCCAAGTACATCGTTTCAGTGGGGTACCAGCATGACATGATTGTCAATGTGTGGTCATGGAAGGTAAGTTCTCTGGGAGGTTGGCTGGACCACAAGGTGTTGCTAAATGAAGAAGAGTTGACAGTTTATCCATAAACTATTGCAGTTCCGTCTTTCTTTCTGCTCTTTTTTTTTTTTACATCTGTTATTATTTGTTTTTTTGACAGTCATAGACGCTGACAAGTTTGGACGTGAGAGAGAACTATGGTCCCTTAGGGAAGCTCTAAGTCACTTCAGTGAAAGGATATTCCTTATACTTGGAGACATGCGACATCTTGCTGTCCAGGCAGAAAAACCTGGACTTTGAAACCTTGTCAAAACCTTGAGCTTTTTTAGAGGCTTATTAAAAGCTAATTTATGAGGGTCAGGAAGGGAACTCTCATCAGTCACAGAGTTCTTTTGTGGTGTAGTGAGTGCTCTTGGCTTGTTTTGTTTTCATTGTGTCAGGGTTTGCAATAGTACGATCCCACCCTTGATGACTGAGAAAGGGAACATAGAGAAATCACAGTGGGTGAAAGCCAATGGAAGTCACTGTCTACCAATGGGTTGGGTCAGCACTGTGGGAACAAAGCCCATGTCTTATCCTCTAGAAAACATTTAAGTGTGTGCTTTTTTGTATATAAGGAAAGAAACATTTATTGTCATTAGGCTTCTGTATTAATAAATGTTAAGCACGTATTCAGCTCCTGCTGCTGCTTTAGGTGCTGTAATCCTCTTTAAAAAGAGATGTGATTTACAGAACCCACAATGCATCTGTTAGATCTCACCTGATTATAGAATGTTAGAATGGTTTGGGTTGGAAAGGACCTTAAAGCTCATCTACTTCCAAGCCCCTGCCATGGGCAGGGATGCCTCACACTAGACCAGGTTGCTCAAAGCCCCATCCAGCCTGGCCCTAAACACTTCCAAGGAGGGGGTATCCACAGGTTCTCTGTGGAGCCTGTGTCAGTGTCTCACCACCCTCACAGTAAAGAATTTCTTCCTAATATCTACCCTCTTTCAGTTTAAAACTACTACCCCTTGTCCTGCCACCGTACTCCCTGATAAAGAGTCCCTCCCCATCTTTTCTGTAGGCCCCCTTTAAATACTGGAAGGCTGCTCTAAGGTCTCCCTGGAGCCTTCTCTTCTCTTGCAGCTTGTAAGTCTGTGCTCATTTAGTATGTTACTCTCTTCATCACATTTTCTGTGCTGTAATTTAAGATCTCACTGTTAGTTTTCTCCTGCATGAGCTGAAAATTGACCTTGCTATTTTTGTGTGTAACTGAACTATATAGTGATAACACCTGTGTATGTCAGTGTTGAAAACTGCTCAGCCTTTTAGTTCTTTGTAGTTATACAAATGAAAGTAGTGACTTAGAGATGATCACAATGCATGGCATGTGTGGGACAGTACAAGTAGCTTCATTTGCCTTGCTTATGCAGGTTTTCCTGTTCACTGTGATCCTATTATAATTATGTGCATGAGAGCTTGTGAGGTAAAGACTATTTTATTCTTCTGCATTGAAGAACATGCACTTTAATCATATACTTCAGACTGTGACTATCAGGAGGTCCAGCTAGCCTTTATTTTGCAGGCTTGGTATCAAAACTAGATTTTATGTGACCGAAGTGAAAGAAGAATTTGAGATCAAGATGTCAATACAGATCTCCTCAAGTACTTCCCTGCACCTTTCACCACAACCCTTCTATCTGCTATGCTGCTGCTTCGATTTCCTGTTTTTCCTGGCTGGGAGACTTAGTCCTTTGACTGTGATGGGAAAGAAAACCCCTGTTATCTGTAGGGTCCCCTAGCTTCCCTAAAGAAAGACCACAGCAGAGATCCAGATGTTGAGGTCTACAAAGGTCCTTAGCCTTTCTCTGTGTGCTGTCTTGGAAGAAGTTATGTTAATGGCTGGCCCCTTGCTTTTCCCCTAGTCTGGGCTGGGGGTCCTCCATGGTGATGGTTTTATCACTGCTTTTTTTTGCGTTGTTGTCAACCATGTGCTGCGTGGTTGAAAATCCACCACAGGTGGAAGGGAAGGCATTTTTATTCTTGCTTCTGCCAATCCCTGGGGAAAGGCAGGGGAGAAAGACTGAGTGCTGGTATTGTGGTTAGGGAGCTCTTGCTATCTGTTTTGCTTGGGCAGTATCCGTTCCTGTTCTCATGTCTGTGCCATGTTCTTCCTCCTTTCCCAAACTCTGACATATTGAAGAGCCCATGTGAAGTGCTGCAGATTTTGCTTTGACCCTTCCAATAAAGGCATGGTCTTTTTGTGTTTTGGGTCTTTCAAAAAAGTGTCTTTAAAGAGAAGAGAGAATTTGTGGAGGAATCAGTATTATTTTCCCTGCAGAAAATAACCTGTTCCCCACCTTGAGTGTCTTGCCCTCACTGCTGCCTGAAAGCCAGGACAACTCCTTGTGTTTTTGCTGTTTAGAAAGGGAAATAGGTTTTCTCTGAGCTCTTGGTGATTGTGAAACCAACATGTTTGTTATGACTCACACACCAAGTTCCTGCAGGCACTAGTGCCTGCTCATTTGTTCTCGATCCCAGTCAATGTGGAAGTGGAATTGAATGTAAATGTGGATTGTACTATCTGCCAAATCAATGCTCCCAGCTGGTGTGGGGGAGGTTGTTTTCAGGGGTGTTTGGGGAGTAGTTTGGGCCTCATCTTTTCCTTTCTGCAGCGCTTGTAGTGGATACGTGCCTGTAACTGAAGTGAGTTCACTTTGCTTCTGAGCAAAGAAACTAAGCTACCTAAACACTTATGCTTCCAGAAAAACATCGTAGTGGCAGCCAACAAAGTCTCAAGTAAAGTGACGGCTGTGTCATTCTCAGAGGACTGCAGTTACTTTGTCACTGCTGGAAATCGGCACATCAAGTTCTGGTACCTGGATGACAGCAAAACCTCTAAGGTGAGAGAAGGTGCATCAAGGCCAACTGTGAACAGGCATTTCCATCTTACAGCAAGCATGGATTTTGCCCCAGTGAGCTGTGGGAAGTGGGAGCTCTTTGATTTTGTGGGGATTCAAAGATAGCCCTCCACCTCTGGCTCTCAAGTCTCAGTGTCCCTATGGGCTGGTGGCACCAAAAGCTTGTCTTATCCTGCACTGATGTGGAGGCATGGCTCCTGGAGTTGTATAGCAGCATGCTTATTCTTTAATAGTCCCATATAATGAAGGACAAAAGACTAGAAAGAGCTGCAGCCATTGAACCCCTTGGAGCACAGAGGTGGGGAGAGCTGTTTGATCTTGTGTTATTTTGAAGGGTCAATTATAGTGTTTAAACTTACAGCTATTCTGTTCTTCTCTGGGGAACAGAATCCACATGTGGGAATTTTTCTGCATGTTCATGAACAGATGTTCCTCGTTCATGCTTGGGCCCTGCTTTAGCATTTGGTATAAATCACACATTGGCCAGGGAAGGGTTGTTCTTCCAGTGACTGATCTGCAGTCTCTGGATCATATGTTTGGAAGCACAGTTTTGGTGGAATAAGTAGTGTTCTGTTCCACTGATGTACTAATACTGATGGTCCCATACACTATGCAAGCAATGGCTCTGCAGCAAGTAAAACATGTCACTGCCTCTCTTTGTAGGCTGTTTGCAGTTCTCTTTTCTTCGAGGCACTTCAGCACTCAGTGTTTGATGTTCTAAAACATGTCTGTCTGCCTGGAGTGCCTTGCTCTGTTCCTAACAAACTGTGTTTTATTGGTAGGTCAATGCCACAGTCCCCTTGCTAGGTCGCTCGGGATTGCTTGGAGAACTGAGGAACAACTTCTTCACGGATGTGGCTTGTGGAAAAGGCAAAAAAGCTGACAGTACCTTCTGCATCACATCCTCAGGCCTGCTCTGTGAATTCAATGAAAAAAGGCTGCTGGACAAGTGGGTGGAGCTGAGGGTGAGTTTTATATCCTCCTGTCCTTCAGTATTTGTGCTTGCTGAGGTAGAACAGGAACAAGCAGTAATAAGGGCACTCGAAGCACAAGCTGACCACCAGCAGTGAAAGTCATTGGGCCTCTGCCACTTTGTTTTCCTCTGGAAAGCCATGCAAAAATAGCATTGTTTCTTGGCAAAGGGATTTTATTAATTATTGAAGCTTTTTCATTCTCAAACCTCAGTATTACAGCTACTGCCTTTCTGGCAAAGTAATGCCCTTTATATAGCTTTGGCAATCCCTGCGTTGTCCCTCCTGGCTTGGCCTGGACAAGCAGGAGTTTTAGAATGATTCTGATTTCTACCCACTCTGCAGTGTCTTACTTGGCTTGTACATCTCAAATGCAGGTTCCCAAGGAACTATTTGGTTTGGCCGTTCTAAACCACCAGGTTGGCTCATAGTTAAGAATTTGATCATGTTTATTTTCCTTTCAATTGAATGTAAGATGGCACCTGAAAGGTTCCAATGTATTAAAATCAAGGGGAAAAAAACCTTTCCACGCTCTCACTGAAGTGAAATGCCTCTTCTTTTCTTTCCTTTCTTCTCTAAAATCTGCCTTTCACTCTCGCTCAGAATACAGACAGCTTCACAGTAAGTTGGAAAAAAGTTTTGCGTTGAACTCATCCCTTTATCACCACACTCCATTTCGTACCATTTTCTGCCATTTGTACAGATTCCAATGGGAAGGGAAGAAAATCCATTTTTTTTCTTTTCATATCCCCTTGTGGCAGGTAGTGTATTGGCTTTTCTAGTACAGGGGGAGGTGCTCCTTGCCTGCTGGTGGTGCTGAATGTCACAGAGGAACAAAACCCCCATGTTCAGAGATGCTCATCTGGAGCAAATATGTGGATCTGCTGTCCTCCAAGTGGGGAGGGAAAGCACAGTGGGGAGCTGGGCTTTTTCCTTAGCCACTTGGAATCTACAATAGCATGTGGTTAGGAAGCTCCTCAGAAAGGAAGATTGGATTTTTAGGCTTTTCCTTACTCCCAGGGCTCAACTTCAGCTCTTCTGACCATGACTCCTTTGTCTGTCAGTTTGCTATTCTCCCCATCATGTGTCCGGTGACTTTTGAAGTTAGAGTGCATTGCTTATTCACCCTCTTGTGTGTTGTGTCCTCCTCAGACCACTGTGGCAAACTGCATCTCTGTGAACCATGACTACATCTTCTGTGGCTGCGCTGATGGCACCGTGAGGATCTTTAACCCTCTGAACCTTCACTTTGTCACCACACTGCCGAAGCCGCACTGCCTGGGAACAGACATCGCGAGTGTGACTGAGGCCAGGTACCGTGGAGAGGGTGGAAGGGAGCAAGGGAGGCTTGTGGGGGTTAGAACTGCTCCCCAGATCTTTGCCATTTGGTGTGTGCTCTTTATATGGATTAAAACTGGCAGCCTATTGCAGATCTGCCTGAGTTGTTGCAGGGTTGCATTGCAAGGCTGGGCTACAGCCCAAAGCCAGTTGCTGGATGAAACAGTGTATCTTGCTCCTCATCTCTTTAGGATTGCTTGGGTCTGGTGGCCTTTTGGTGTTGGTTGCTATAGGCAAACAGGCAGAGGGCACAGGATGCTGTGGCATACTTCAGTTGTTCCTGTACCATGGTACACCCTTTGCTTATCACTGATAAGGGCAGAAGACTCTCCTCTGTAGCTATATAATGATGTTGCTAAGAGAAGCCCAGGCTTTATTTGAAGGGCTCTCTTGCAATCCTTTATAGACCTAAATCTGCTACTTTCTGTAGTCTTTATACTGATTCAGTCTTGTCTATTTTGTTGTCTTGTTTTCCTACCTTGCTCCAGTATCTTCTGCCCTATCTCTCTTTCTCACCTTCTGAGGAGGGTAATGTGATTTCTGTATGGTTTTGTCTGCCAGCTTGTGGAGGCTTATGCTAGAGAAAATCCTTCATGTGTTGCTGTTTGTCAGTTGTGGTTGGGGGCTTTCCCAATCTTATGTTACCTTCTTTTGCTTCTGTCACTTTTGAAGAATGAAATCCAAAGGTGTATGAATCTACCAGCCATTGTTTCACTGGACATCTGAAGTTCCCACATCTACAGATATATACTCCCAGTCCTATAACAGATTTTCTTTAAACTTTTCTTTGGAACTTGAAGTAAAGGTTCTGACAGTGCACTGTATAGTCCTCCTCCAGAAGATTAGTGGAATATAATGATATTCCAGTAAGGGAGCTGGAAAAGGAACTTCAATCTAAAATGTTACCACTTTCTGATAGAGCTAAAGTCAAGCAATCGTATACATGGACCCTTTAAAAATACTCTCTGCTGTTCTCATGCATCAGTCTAGCAGAAATATTCATGTGAGTCTTAAACATGCATTTGTAGCAGTGATTACGTCTTAATAATTTATTTATTTATTTTTAATTACTTCCAAAAAAGCTTGGAAACACAGGACTCCTTATATTCCTATGCATGCCAGAGCCTGTCTGTAGGATGCCAGTTGCCTGTAACTAACTGCCCACGACTGTATCAAGGACTTGTTTTTTCCATAGGATCTGCGCTGTGTTCTTCTAGCCCTCAGAGCTTTGCACTTGCAGAAGCAGGGCTTCAGTTGTTTGGTGTGCTTCTTGAACTTTGGTCCCCGTCCCATCCCAAGCTATGTGTGGGTTAGGGGTGGAAGAGAACCATGTCAGAGAAGCTGCTGCTGAAATGAATCATTCCTTTGTCCCTTGTGCTGGTGTGCTTCTCTCTTTTTGAGTGTAGTATGCACTCTTCTGCTTGGTCCCACACGAGCAGTTTCTGCAATCAGTAAGCAAAATACAGTACCCACCAAAAGATGATCTTCTCCTTTGTTCTGAGATTATTTGTCTCGGTTTTTACCACCTGTTTAGGCAGGGGTAAACGATGATGATGATCATTTCCAGTGACGATTAAGTGTTCTGTTTTGTCCTTCTTCAGGGAAAGTCAATGGCCTTTCTGTGGCGGGACTCCAAGTTGGTTGGCAAGTAGAATGAGTTTTACCATGGAGCTTTCAGGCTTCTTTTGGGACTCTGGTTGTTCAAGAGACAGGTCTTCCCTGACAGCTACTCTCTACCTATATATGCCCCAGCATACTGTTCACCTTGCCAGTGCCCTGTGGACAATCTGAGCTCTCATGCCCTGACTCCTTGCCCCTCCACGGGAGTGCAGGCTAACCAGGCTGTTGTTCTCTCTTTGTGCAGTCGTCTTTTCTCTGGTATGGCTGATGCGAAGTATCCAGACACGATTGCCTTGACTTTTGACCCCACCAACCAGTGGCTTTCCTGTGTATACAACGACCACAGCCTGTATGTGTGGGATGTCAAAGACCCGAAAAAAGTGGGCAAGGTGTACTCTGCTTTGTATCACTCTTCCTGCGTGTGGAACATTGAGGTATGTTGTCTGTACATACAAGTGTTGGATTGCAGTTGCAGCTGCAGAAGTCATCTGCAGAGCTGCTGAATTTGAATGCAGACGCTTACTGCAGAGAGAAAGAATTGGCTCAGATTTCCTCCTGTGGTTAGTGTGGTTGCTACAGAGTTTGAGTTGGAGCTAGGAACAGCTCTTTGGCTGCACTGCAGTGTCTGGCCAACTGCGTTAGGTGCAGTGTGTTACTGAGAAAAAAAATCTCACCATTAGAAGGTGAGAGGTGGGAGAAAGAGCAGAACTGCACAAAGGTGAATGCAGGGGCTCCTTTCACAAAACACACAAGAGTTTACTGCTGACCTCAAAAGGAATTAGTCGAAGTCTGTGGTAAGTCCTGCTCCATAGTCAAAGGAATGAAACAAGCGGTAAGATCTCAACTCTGATCTTTCTTAACCTATTTACCAGGACATCCGTGATTAGCCTCTCAAGTGGCTATCATCTTCCAGTCTGTCTGGTTGGCTTTCTATCAGAGGGAAGTAAAGGAGGTATAGGAAACAATGTAATTGGTAATATGTTGAAATATTTCCAACAGTGGTCAGGAAAGGGGGAAGTGGAAAGAAAATGGAAGAGGCTGAAGACTCTTTTGTTATTATTTATTAAGTGCATTTCACCCTTTCCTTTTGGATTATAAATGGGCAGTAGTAGTTGAAAGTTGCAAACAACAGTGCAAGGCTGCTGCACAGTTATTGTTGCATGGTCTTTGAGGCGTTCTTTGAACTCTTGGAAACAAAGGATGCTGGCTTGTTGCATGCCTCTTGCAGAGACGTTCTGCATTCAGGAAAGCTCAGTGAGCATTTGTTTGAAGTGAATATGAAGCTCTGGTCTGCAAGCAGGTGTTCAGTAGGAGAAGTGACTGGCTCTCACCTTTACAAAGAAGAGGACAGCACTTTCATTTTGTTTTGAAACTTGCTACTCGTGTCTATCAGGCAGTCTCACTCAGGAGTTGATTTTACCTGTCTGTAGATGTATCCGGAGGTGAAGGACAGCAATCAGTCATGCCTTCCCCCTGGTTCCTTCATCACCTGCTCCTCTGACAACACCATTCGTCTGTGGAACACTGAGAGCTCCAACATTCATGGCACAGCTCTGCACCGCAACATCCTCAGCAATGTAAGATCTTAGGTTTTGATCATCTTCTTGCCCTTGGGGTTGCTCTTCCTCATGCACAGGTATTCCCAAGTTAAGGCCCAAACTTCTTTGGATCTCTGAGTCAATACAAACTTCTCTGTAAACAGAGCGAAGTCTGGTAAAATGTATGAACCTCAAGAATCATGAATGGGGAGTAGGAAGTATCAGCTGGAAAGATGGCTTGTCTGAAATGGTCCAGGGGACTATTGCTTTTTCCATAAACCGCCCAAGGATTCACTTAGCTTAGCCTCTTCCAAAATGGCTCATCCCATATGCTGCAGGAGAGCTGATTCACTTTTTCTTCATCTCTGTAGTATGTAACTACTTTAAGATTTGTTTGGAAAAGGTGCATTAAATGAGGCAGAGATTTGGGAGAACTGAATGAGAAGCAGTTTACACTCACTTCATGTATATAAGAGGGAGGGTACTTGTACAGAACAGTGATTACTTATGGACATTTGCTTCCATTCTCAGTAGAGCTGGAAGATCTGAGAGAACAGCAGCCCTGACTTGCCTGTTCTCAGCAATCTGCTTATGGTGGAAAAACTACTCCGTTTTCTGTCAGTTCTCAAAAGGCATGATTTAATTTGGATGATCCCTAGAAGTCTTTCAGATCCCAGCTGTGTCCCCTCCTGCATTGTAATCACTAATCCCAGAGCTTGTCTGTTTGTGCGGGACATGCTGTTAGTCTCTAGCTTGAAGGGATATCATTTGGAAAGGGTGATTGTGAGACACAGCTGTGAAACTTTCATCCTACAATATGAAGGGGCTGAGTGCTTGCACCTAGGTAAAAGATCCCACTGATTACAGCATTACTGCTGATGAAGTGTATATGTTGGCTAGGAGCCCAGTTTCTAAGGCAGATGCTTCACTTTAATGTTTTGTAACTAGTTCATATTTCTGGGTGTATTGTATCCCCAGGACTTGATGAAAATCATCTATGTAGATGACAACACTCAGGTACTTCTGGACACTGATTACAACTCAGCAGGAAGTGCAGACAAAGCTGATGCACAAGTGATGGATACGAAGGTGGGGATACGCACTGTCTGTGTGAGTCCCAGTGGGGAGCATCTGGCCTCGGGGGACAGGATAGGCACTCTCAGGTAATCCCAAGGAGCTTCTTGTGCAGACTGTGGGCTGGGCAGGCATGAGAATGAAAACCAGATCTTGCTAATTTTATAAAGCATACTGAACTCAGCTGTGTTGTGTCTTAGGATATATGAGTTGCAGTCTCTGAGGGAAATGCTGAAGGTGGAAGCCCATGACTCTGAGATTCTGTGTCTGGAGTACTCCAAACCTGACACAGGTAAATGCAATTGAGCTTCTTCCCTTTTGCATATGAATGTAGCGTTGAACAAGTCAGTAAGTCCAGCCATGGTATATCAGAACCTTCAGTGCTGAGCTACTCCTGAATTTCAGAGCAGGCTTGTAGCACTGGGCCAGTAGAGCCAGACTTTGAAAGAGGCTTCTTTCTCATACTTTTCCTTGGAATATGGTAGGCTGAGGTTGAAAATTGTTATCACAGTGTGAAATGCAGGGGCATTCTTTTGTGTCCATCCATGCAGTTATGCGCAGTATGATGTTCCTAAGATGATTTGAGAAGCTGTTTTAAAATAGTGACTGGAAAAGCACATGACTTTTTAGTAATGGCCTTGCACTCTTTTTAATTCTGACAGGCTTAAAGCTCTTAGCCTCAGCCAGTCGGGATAGATTGATTCATGTCTTGGATGCTGGAAAGGACTACAGCCTGCAGCAGACCCTGGATGAACATTCTTCTTCCATCACTGCTGTCAAGTTTGCAGGTAGAGAATTGTGGCTTCCTTCCAAAGCTGGATTTGTGCACTGTTGTTTTCCCATTGTGGCTGTAAAGTAATTTTAACTGCTTAAACACTGGGTTAGGCCAGGGCTGAAGCTGCGTTTTTGCCATCATCTTTAGCTGCAGTATCCTAACGGAAGGTGATATTTGACTATACTTGCCATCTTATCCCTTTTGCTTTTTGATCTTCTCTTTCCTCCTCATTCACAAAGCCTCTTGTGATTGAAGTCCTCAGCATTTCTTTGGAAAGCTGTTTTCTGTAATGATTTACTCCCTTTAACTGTTGTCAGATGGCTACATGCTGTTCTTAATGAGGAGAACTGTGGCATATCCTCCCCAAAATTCCCCAAACCCACAAAAATCTTCTAGAATTAACTATTCACAAGTAAATTTGTCGTAACAAATCGGTATAAGACTTCGCGTTCATGGTAATGGAGCACATTGCATCCCCAGCACTCAGGTACTACTGATGGTCAGACATGAGTGTGATGTATTGTCAGGGAACAGCAAGGGTTGGCTGCTCTGCCAGTAGCCAAGGGTCACAGGAAGGCAGTCAAAGGTAGTGGCTTTACTGGCAATGGAAAAGTCCCACAGTACGTGAATAAGGTGGAACAGTTCAAGTCCAGTGACAGTAACTAGATCCAGCCAATAGTCCTGATCTCCAGACAAATCCATAGTGGTAAGACAGGTCAGCAGTTCAGGATCAGGATCAATCTGGATGCAGTGAGCTGGCTCAGCCACAGTTCAGTGCCTGCCAAACCCATGGCAGGAAGGCAGGTTCAAGTTGAAATCAGGAAGCTGAGTCCATGGGTGAGGGTCAGGATTTGTACCATTAGGGTACGTGGCCACACACAGGTGTAGCTGCAATGCTGCTGCCATTTTCATTACACAGGGATTTTCATTACACAGAGATTTATCAGGTGTTGCTTTACTGAAAGGAGCAGATTGGTTACAAAAGACTGCTAAGGGAAGCCTGACCGCAGTAAGACAGGGCAGCAGGAAACATGCAGATGACTTTGGGCACTTTTCAGTCTTCGTTGTCCGACTTCAGCTCATACTGAGTGTGAACTTGTCATACTGCAACAGGGTGCTGTGGCAGGCACACAATAACCACATGAGCATTACTGTTGAAGGAGAAAATAATTACATCCTAATAAGTTGTGTAAAGCCTCTGTATTAAGGCCTCAAGCACACTGAGCATTAATAAATGTTCGAGAAGGGGCTTCTGTTTTGCTGCAGCATCGTGCTGCTTAAGTAGGAGTCAGTCTTAGCTAATCAGGACTGGAATAAATGGTATAAATTAAAACATGTTCTCCACCTTGTATCTGTGTTTGTCTTTTGATTGGCTCCTGCCTCTTTGTTGCAGCCAATGATGGGAAGGTGCGAATGATAAGCTGTGGGGCAGACAAGAGCATCTATTTCCGCACTGCACAGAAGGTAACCTTATTACAGCTTTTTTTAATAGTCTCTCCACAAAGGAGCTACTTTAAAGAGTGATATCGGTGTTTCTGTATAAGCTTGTTGATATTCAGCCTTAGCATCTCCCACTGACTCAATTCAAGAGATCACATTCAGAGAACTAGTTCTGTGAAGCATGCAGCTGGTTCCAGCCTGACCTTTCTCAGCAAGATGCAGAGCAGAGAGTTGTTAGGATATCTGCTTTTATTTCACTGCCAGGGCTATTGTGAGAAGCGGTGAAAGAGTAAGGGCTAGAGGAAGGAGTTCATTGTGCCTGCATCCCAGCTGCTCCCAGCAGACCTGCTTAATGGGAATGGTTGATTTGTGCTGGCTGTGTGAGAAGACTCATCTGTATTTAGGAGTTTTTGATAATGGGTTAACTGCTTGATTTTGACACAGTCTTTACCCACATGCTTAGACAGGAGAAGGGGTTCAGTTTACCCGAACACATCACATTGTTAGGAAGACCACTCTGTATGACATGGATGTGGACCCCAGCTGGAAATATGCAGCTATTGGATGCCAGGATCGTAACATCAGGTTAGTTTACTACTTGTCTTGAAAATATTTTTGCAGTCATAAATGAGCTGGCCAAGAGGACCCCATCTCCATCATTGTTCCTATTTGGCACAGCATTTTCAGTCAAAAAAAAGAGATAAAAACCTGTGGTTATATGCAGATACCTATGGGACCCTTGGCTTCTCACTGGGTTGCTTTGCAGAGCAATGTCTTTCTACTGGGAGAGCAAGCGTGCCTTCCTTGGCACATCATTGAGCTGTGGGGCAAGAATTTCTGTGATTTGGTCATTTTTGCTTTTAAAGTTGTGTCTAGTGAGAAGCTGTGAGGTCCTGTGGGACAGCTGAGGCAGTAGGAACCTAAAACGGAGCTAGGTGTGACTGTCTTTAGACAAGTAGAATCCATACATGTAAATAAAGGGTCTTGCTCTCTTAACCTTTACCTTTAATATGAAGGAGCCGCAGGCATTTTTATAGCAGGAAGGACTAACTGGAGCTTATTAGTAGCTATTCCTGCTACATCACCATTAGCCATTGAAAGGCAAGACAAGGTTTTCTCCCTCCCATTTAATCTCTCCTTCAGTACCATGATGCTATACTCGGTTTTTATTATCTGTTTGAGAGTTGAGCCTCAACTTTAATTCAGACAATCTGCTTGATATCATATCCTCCAGTCTGGGGCCTCTACATTACTTTTGAGGTTGTTTCTTGAACCATTTAAATGATTGGTGGTTATAGGTCATAGAGATCATTTCTCCACTTCCTGTGGCTTGGCCGTATTCCCTGTATCTCATATGGAATGAGGAACAGAAGGAGAAAAGTATCCTGGTAACAAGAGCCTCAGAGCAGTACCTGGGCAAAATGAACCATGTTGGTTTATGTCATCTCCCTCAGGGTTTTCAATATAAGCAGTGGGAAGCAGAAGAAGCTTTACAAGGGATCCCAAGGTGAAGATGGCACCCTCATCAAAGTAAGTGGTTTTCTTTCTTCGCTTTTCCTTTTTTCCCTGCTGGATGCAGCTCAGGGCTTGGAAAATTAAATACAAATCTGGACACAGTAACTTGTTTTGGTGGTGGTTGTTGCTCACTCCATGCTTTGTCCCTAATCCTTCTTCCTCCTACCTCCATCCTTAAGGGCTGGTAATGTATTTGGGTTTTATTAGGCTAAACAGGAAAAGAGCCAATGCATGCCGAAGTTGATACATAACTCCTCTGTCTTGTTTCTGAACTGAGGCACAGGCCCATGATGTAAAAGCAAGTAGAATTGCACCAATATGTCAGGTGATGCTTTAGTCCATTTACTTTAATCCTTTACTTTCTGCTCCAGAGAGTCCATTCTGGCTTTCCTGGCTGTTTCTGTTAGGATTTTTAAGGTGGAGCTGCATGTTGCTAAAAAGGTAGAGAGAGGAAGGTGAATAGCTTTGTTCAGTGTCACCTGTTCTGTTTTACAGAGAAAAATAAGTTCTCTTTGTCTTTAATTCCTATAGTTTGTTTTTTTTTATAAGCCATGGCAATGAAAAATTGGTGCTACACTTTATGGCTGGTACTTGCTCAGGTATTTGATTATGTGTCTCGACCAACAAACCATGAAATGTTGCTGGGATCTGGATTTTTTGTTTATCCTTTATGTTTTGTTTTGGTTTCTTTTCATGTGTAGCTCAAGTGAGGAATCTCAATTACTTTTAAATGTTGCTTTGTTCATTTTTCTTAGGACAGTTGTGTAACTAAGGGATTGTGATGTCTCTGGAATTTAAACTTTTTGGGCTTGTTGTCCTGAGACCATGTTGCAATTTAACAAGTAGAACCCGAACAGTGACATCGGAAGCAGAAGATACAGCATCAAAATAAACTTAGCCAACAAAAAGTTATCAATTAAATACCACGTCTCCCTCAACACCCAGGCACTTTCACTCTCAGTTCACTAAAGTTCTACAAAGGAGGACATGTGCTGACAGCAGCTGTTTTTGCTGTGTAGTGCTGCTTTAGACCTAGAGAGGCATTTGGAGTGGGTTTTATATTTATTCAAGATAAAGTCACAAATGGGTGTATATGAGGAAAAAACAACTAAGCAGAAAATGAATAACAAAAGCCCCTCAAGAAAATCAACCCCAAAGCAAAACCAACGCCAAAACAGGAGCTGCAGATGCTGGAGATTTGACAGCATCATTATCAAAGATAATTTCTCTTCAGTGCCGAGTTCTTTTTTTGGTTTCTCTACTCCAAATTGGAGTCTTTTAATATTTCACTCAACTCTGTCAGCTCTGATTATTTTGGGGTGTGTGTGTCTTGGCATGCGTGGGTTTTGTTTAGAAGAAAGCAAGACCCTAGTGATTCAAAGGAGGTAGGAGAGAGAGTTAGAAGCCTGTCCATTGATGGTGGTGCCTTCACAGTCATGAAGGCTTTTAATGTAAATGCCTTTAGTCTCTGATTATATTGGAGATTGGTTTTAACAGTTCAGCCAGGTTGGAGATTTGTCCTGGGATGCTGGATAGGCTCATATTCAGTTGGAATCCTGTGCAAGCTACTTGCCTTTTATTCTGTTAGCTATCATGACTGTCTTGGGTATTCTGGACCATATGCATGCAGTTTGAAGGCACTTTCTCACCAGATCTTTGTACTTCTCCTAAAACAGGTGCAAACAGATCCTTCTGGTCTTTACATTGCAACTAGTTGTTCTGACAAGAACCTCTCCATCTTTGATTTCTATTCTGGCGAGTGTGTTGCAACCATGTATGGACATTCAGGTAAGGTACACTTCCTGAAACACATTTTTCTCCTGATGACTATATAGTAACGTCTGATACTAATCAAAGCTTTCTGAAGGTTCCTCCCCACCAGTGTTTACCCAGTGGGTATTTTGGAGTAGGTCATAGTTGGATGAAGTTATGATTGCTTATTTCATTGCAGTTTCAACCTTTCCAGACTGCATTTTGCATTGCAAAATGCAAGCCCACGCATGCCCCTCAGGCCATGTATTTGTTTACACAGTTCTTCTAATAGCCTATAAGGGAGTCTGTTTCTTCAGTGTATATTAAGTTTCATTATGATTGACCCTTGGGTCCTACCATGCAGGGGCTATTCTATTATTCTGTAATATTTTACTGTGGGATACCCTTTCCATTTCAAGCCTAGATTCTTTATTAGCTGGTTATGCTAATTGGGGCATATTGATCTGTGGAGTTTGTTGGCTTTAATCAGAATCTGAGTAGCTAAGTGCAGATGGGCTGTTTGGCTGGTGATCTCTTCTGTCCATTGCAATAATTCAGGTTTGTTTTTTTGTTTTCTGGTGCTTTATTTCACACAGAGATTGTAACTGGGATGAAATTCAGTAATGACTGCAAACATCTGATCTCTGTTTCTGGTGACAGGTAAGAGGGGTTTGCTTGTTTGTGCTATCAGCTCATGCCATCTCACACCAGATTTAATGTGTGTCCTGAAGGCAATTAGAATATATATTTATTTATTTTAAATGAGTGATGTTTTATGAATTCCAAATTAACCTCAGATCTTTCTGAATCCTAAATGCATGCCATTGGCAAAGCTCACAGAGCTTATATTATCCTTTCATGGAATAAGACGCCCATGTGATGTACTTCCCTTGTGGTTTTCTGAGTGTAGGTACTGTTCCCTGCAAGGAGACAGGGTTGTGGCCTGTTTCCTTACCAGCCTTCAGGCCTGTGATGTAAAGCAGCTTATGACATTCTAATCAGTGGTGCCAAAACTTTCTTGCAGTGGTCCTGTTGGTGAGGGTTCACCAGGTGAATGAGCCTGTGTAGCAGCAAAAGGGAGAGGTTTGTCCCCACTCTTTGCTCATGTCCATATGGTCCTCTTCCCCAAAACCCAAAGTGAGCCCTCATTAAGCTGGTTCAGGTCACTACATCAGCCCCCCCCCCCCCCCCCAAGCTGAGTTTTCTGCTGATCTGGTGAGCTAAATCAGCTCATCATAACATGATGATATACCTAATATGATCGTAGAGGTGAGTAGACCTGCTACTGGAATCAGCTGAACTGAATTGTGTTTTTTCCTTTGAGGGAGTTGGTTCCTGGAGTGCGATTTCAAGGTCAGAGCAACCCAGATTCTCTCTTTCTTTTCTAATAGTAAAACACAATGGAACTGGAAAAAGCATTGTAGAGGGCAAGTTGTTACAGCTCATGCAATAGATCACCTTAAATCACATCGGTCGGTTATTTCTGCCTTTCAGGAAAAAGTAAATAATTTAATTTTCCTCTTTCTTTACCTTTCATGTGTGTGAATAGATCAGGGGAAAAGTTGCAGAGGAGGAGCCATTTTCTTGTGGATTTCTAATAAATTCCAGAAACATGGAAGGTTTGAGGTCCCTTGGTGTTTGTGATTTAGTGCAATATTCCCTTGTTGTCCATTTCCATGAGCAAAAGTGTCATTTTCTTCACTAAGGCTGTGGAGGAGGTGGAATTAAGGAAAGGATTCATGAAGAATTTCGCTTTAAGTTGATGAGAAAATGTGTTTTTCAGAGGAGAACAGGGAGAATAGCCTGTTCACACGTAGCAGCATGTGCAAAGAATCAAACTAAGAGTAGAAAGAGATGAGGAAGGGTGCAAGGACTGGGAGATCCATGTGAGAAAAGTACTGCGAGGGAAAAATGAAATAGCAGCAAAAGGAGTAGGTGGGAGCATTCTTCTGTAGAGCTTTGTGTTGAATGCTGATGTATTTACAAGTTCATGCTGTTTGCTGCTTATCTCTGGGTTTGATGGCTGTGGGTGTGGGATAAAGGAATAAGCCAGATTTGCTTTCTGAATTTTGTTTCTTGCTTTTCTGTATTTTCCCATCGCAGATTAGGGTTGATGTTATGTTTGAGAGAGTTGCTGCTTTGAAGGGAAGCAGCTGGCTGGCCCAGGTTGCCATAACTCTCAGATGCAGCGCTTCACCACTTCCTCCTGGCTCCGAAGTTGGGGCAGGAGGATGACAGCGTGACCACTGTTGATGGGAAGTGTTTCTGTGTCTGACTTCAGTAGCTGGGGTGATGCTTCTGAGCTTTGTCACAGAGGGGGCAAGAAAGGAATTTTTACTATTTCATTAAAATGTGCACAGACTGCAGAGTGAGAGTGGGCTTTCTGCTTCCTACTTCTGTGGTGTGGAAGTAAAAACCTTTCAAAATGGCTTCTCATGAGAGGGAAAAATTGTAGAAGATGCAGGTATTCAGGATCCTGGCATTTTTGGCATTTGCTTCAAGTCAGGGAAACCAGAGTTCATGGTCACTGTTCATGGTCTGCACTGGCAGAGCAAATGAATTTTTACAGCCTAGCAGGGAAGAAGGGAAAGCCCCGCATTGAAAACTCCTTCAGGAATTGAGTATCCACAAGTAAGGTGACATTGATGGGCCTTGAAGAACTGGAGTAAATCCTCTTTGGATTCCAGAGTATGGTGCAGGTGATTCTCCCCCTCTACTCTGCTCTTGTGAGTCCCCATCTGCAGTCCTGCATCCAGCTCTGGGGTCCCCAACACAAGAGAGACATGGAGATGTTTGAGCAAGTATAGAGGAGGCCATGAAGATGACTGGGGAGTTGGAGAACCTCTGCTATGGAGACATGCTGAGTTGGGGTTGCTCAGCCGAGACCTTATAGCAGCCTTCCAGTGCTTAAAGGGGGCCTACAAGGAAGCTGGAGAGGTACTTTTTACAATGGCATGTAGTGACAGGACATGGGGGAATGGCTTTGAACTGCCAGAGGGGAGATTGAGATTAGACATTAGGCAGAAGCTCTTCCCTGTGAGGGTGCTGAGGCACTGGCACAGGTTGCCTAGAGAAGCTGTGGCTGCCCCATCCCTGGCAGTGTTCAAGGCCAGGTTGGAGGTGGCTTGGAGCAACCTGATGTAGTGGAAGGTGTCCCTGCCCGTGGCAGGGGGTTGGAACTGGGTGAGCTTTAGGGTCCCTTCCAACCAAACCATGGTGTAAGTGACAGCAAAAGCACCATCTCTGTTTCTACATCAGTGTAAGTATACCCAGCTAGACAGGAAAGATGGGTGAGATGAAAAGAATTAGTTAGCACTGAGGTTAAATTTCAAAGGACATATTTGTCATTTCACTTTGCAGCAGCTGAAGGTGAGATACAGTATTTATTCTCTAATGTGATGAGGAATTTATTTTTCTTTAGCCAGATTTTTGAAGAAAATGAGACCAATGAGCTCACACTGTTTGTTTCCTGCTCCCAGACACTTTTGAATCCACTGACAAAATTCAAGCAAATTCCTTAGAAGTTTGCTGGAGGAAGTCCATGTAAAATTTTAGGAGCACTGTGGCTGCAGAAAGTACTGCCACATCAGCTTAACTGTGATTACACCACAGAGACCCCATGGGACTGGTGGGCATTAGGGAGGGTTTGCCTGTAGGTGTAGTTGCAATTAGAGGCTGCAGCTCAGCCACTGTTATGGACATCTGTAGACTCTACTTATCCTCCTGACCATGGAGGGACTTGTTATGGCATTTCCTTCAGCAGCTGGTCAGATAGTCAAATAAAGGTGCAGGATCAGAGATGAGTTTGTGCAGTTTCTCTCGCCCACGGGGAGTCTTTGCCAGGCAGGTTTTACTCTTTTGTCATGAGGCTTGTGATGGGATTGAGTTTGTGTGTATCTCTTCCCACCACAGACAGAAGGGCTCTTGTTGGCCTCTGCAGTGGAAATTGATAATAGCAATGAACCAAACTGAGACTTGACCTCAGCCTCACCTTTCCCTCTTTCAGCTGTATTTTCATCTGGCGTCTGAGCTCAGAGATGACCATCAACATGCGGCAGCGACTGTCTGACATGAAGCAAAGAGGGAAGCAGGCAGAAAAGTCTCCTCCGCACAAGACTGCTGGACTCATGAGGTGAGCAGAGCAGACCAAGAGGAGGTGGTTGGCTTTGTAGGGTTGAATGTGCGAAGTGTGGCTCCAGGATTCAGCTGTAAGATTTCTGCTGTCTTCACTGATAGTGTCTTCCAAAAGTTCTCTTATTTTCTGTTGGATTTGCCATGGGTTTCGTGCCCCAGTTCTTTGGAGATAGAAGGCTGACCATGATTTTCCAGACAGAGTTGGTATTGCTTCACTGATTGAAATGTGTATGCAATGCCCCTTGTGTCTTAATTTAGTTTAATGATGTGGTCAGAAACTTTAATAAGCAGTTTACCTAGCAATCCTGTGGCTGCTACACAGCATCCCACCAGGGAAGCCTTGCTCCTTCATGAATAAACTTCTCTGGATCTAGCCTGAATGCAATTTAAAGGTTGTTTTCTACAGTACTGACTGTGTACCTGTGAGCTGTATGAGTTTGCCATGTCGATCATGATTCTGGAAAAGTCCTTTCAGTTGTGTTGTTTCTTTGTTAACTGTTTTCTGGAGGCTTTGAAAAAGGTCACCTAAAAATAATTATAATAAAAATAGTAAAGATAAAAGTAATTTCCATGGGGAAAGTTCATATTAGTTTTGCTTGGTAATCACAGAATCATAGAATAGTTAGGGTTAGAAAGGACCTTAAGATCATCTAGTTTCAACCTCCTTCCATGGACAGGGACATACCTAAAAGCAAACTACCACAACCTACAAACTGAATAGATCTATATTTATCTGGTGACCTTTCTTTAAAAAGTGATGCTTAAACACAGACCCTGTTTTAACCAGAACAGAAGTGATGGGATTATGGATTATTAGCGTAATGTATTCGGTTTCTCTGTACTTAGTAAGTAGCTGAGACTTATTTGACTGTAAGCAATGCAGGAGAGAGTCCTGACCAAGCTGATAAGGGATCAAAGTGTGGGGGGAAAAAAGGATAAACACAGATATTTTTGATGCTATATCCCACAGTTTTTTTTTCCTCCTACAAATGACTACAAATTGAGTTCTGGATAAGAAAGTGCCACAGCACTGGAGGATTTACCACACTGATTGTTGAGTATCACAAGGACCTTTCCACTCCCTTTGCGAGCAAGTAATGTTGGAACAAGTCTGTCTGCATAGTTTCTTTTGGGAAAGCCTTGATCTGCTCATTCTTCAAACAAGTCTTGTCTAATAAGTGCTTGTGGTAATGATGCAGGGAGAACTCAGGAAACCTTTTTTTCCTAGCCAGAATTCTGGAGCTGTCAAGCAATGTGCTTTTTATAGCAGACTCTCCATTATTCCAGCAGCTGCAGCCTTAACCTACCGAGGCTCAGCCTGTGACAGATTATCCCAGTCCTCTTTCCACATTAGGTGATGCTTGTTTCCGTCACAGACGCTTGCTGAAGGGCGGTGTTAGTGCCACGCCAAGCCCAGAACTTCATTAAACTGGTTTGGTAACCTCTTTGCAAGGCTGGAATCTACTTGTTTGGTCAGCTCTGAAAGCTCGTTTTCGGTTTTGAGTGACCGCTGTGGTCAGTGGAGATCAGCAAAGACATAACTCCAGAGCATTTTGGATTGGGACTGAAGATGGAGGAAGAGCCTATTGGACCAGCATTATTGAGGTGGGAGAAGGGAAACTAATGAACTTGAGTAAGACTGTTTTTTCAAGATCTCCTGTACTAGTTCTGGTTGTGTTTCCAAAGTCTGTGTTAGGTTGCAGTAGAGAGTTGGGTTGTATCTTGTGTTGTGTCAAAAGGACTCAACAGTAGTATAAGACAGCTCCCTGCCTGGTGAGATATTATTTGTTCTACAAGGTTTTCTCTAGAACAGTATTGCTAAAACTTGGTGGGGAAGTAATGCATTCTGCTGGATCCATAGTGTGGGTGTACAATAGGATGTATAACCAAAGTAATACTGTTGAAACAAAACTGAGCTGAGGAGCCAGTGGGGAGATGAAGATTTCCAGTTCAGGACAGTGCTGTCTCTGTCCAGCTGTGACTGGAAGGGCAGGGATTGGCACAGGTGAATAACAGCTGGGGTGTAAACACACAGAGAAGGTGCCTTTCTGGGTCAAGCCAGTGCTTCAAGAAGCCCAGTGTTCTGCCTGTGATGCTGGCAGTGGAAGATGGTGTTTGGTGAGACACTGTGAGCTTTGCGGTGGTCCATTTGACTCATGCTCAGTTGTTGTATCAGGGATGTTAGGAGGTGCATCTGCCTCTGCAGTTCCTTTTGGTGACAGGTTCCTGGAGTTCACTGCTCTTTGTGGAAAGGATGACTTTTTTGTCTCTGTTAAACCAGTCTCCTGGTTTGGTTGAAAGCTCATTACTTATGAGTATTGTGAGCTTTGGTGAACTGTTGTTCTGCATCCAGCTATCTGTAGTCCCCGTGGTTTTGTAGACCTTTATCATAACCTCTTGCCATCCAGCCTTCTCTCCAAATTAAAGAGTCCCAGCTGTCTTTCTTCCCTCTCTCCAAAAACTCCTAGAGAGACTAAAGTTTCTCCTTTGAAGGATTTCTCTGACTCGCCTTTATGGGACATTGGATTAGTTTGGAAGTAATCTGACCTGTGTGACCCACACTTTTCCAAAGTACCCCTGAGACCCTCTGGTTGTGATAATCAGATGTGTTCTTTTCTCTCATCTGGTGAACATGAGGAGCTTTGATTGTTCAGGATAATAGAACTTGTACTCAGCTGATATTGCTAGTATGTTTTGGGTTTGAGGCATTTGTATTTTCAGAGAAGGAACCATGTAAAGGCCTTTTAGTAGGATTTTGACTTTGATCCAAATATGTATTTATTGTTTAGAAAAGCTTGTCTCAAATTTTTGGAAGGGAAGTTTTAAATGGATTGTCCTGTGGAATGTTTGCAGGGCTTAGAGTCATGTTTGAGCTGAGCATTTAATTTTAATTTTAAAAGTCACTTTGACTTTTATTGAAGCTCTAATATAAATAGCAGGAGATGGAAATGTTGTCCAGATTAAATTGTCTCAAATTTATGTGTATGCTAAAGAAGCACTGTGTGCTGTCAGATATATTTGGAAGGAAGAGCTCCTTATCAAATTCTCAGTGAGGCTTTGGTCCAGTCCAGGAAAGCTGTGTGGTTTCCAGGGCTCAGAATGGGGCAGGCTTTGGTGCTGGATTAGAAGTATTGCCTGAGTCTGTGCTGAACTGTGCAATGGAAACACCATGGAAACTCTGAAGTCAGCAGCACTGTGATCTTTCTGTGGGGAAGAGCAGGGTGACTTTCTTTTTAAACCCTTAGGCATTCGTGGGGGAGAGGGGGAGCAATCTGCTAGTGATCCCTACCACATAGCATCTACAATTTCATAAACATGCCCCTAAACCTGAGGGTTTAAGTAGCACAAGATCAGAGTGGGAATGTGGAATGCTGACCACATACCTCTTTAAATGGGTAGCTGTCATTCTTGCTTGTTTTGTTTTAAGAAAAGAAAGAAGGGTTGAATTCAGGACATTCAGGACATGTATTCAGAAGAATATGGAGTACCTAATATCAGATGTCTTTATACAGAACTCTGTAAAGGCATTGTGGCACCTTTAAGTCTGTATACATGTCCTGAAGACTTTGTAACTGAAGGTCCTTCCTTGTCATTGACACCATTCTGGCACAGCCTTCAGGAACTAGAAGCTGAGCAACTGGCTGTGCTCATCCATACAGATCAAGATCTAGGCCTAGTACTAAAATGAGATAGTTCCTCAGCAAGGGAAGAAGATGAGCAAGAACAGTTAAAATCCTTGCTCTGAATCAGTCACATGTATCTTGAGAATTGGACATGTATGTACATGCTGTTCTGGAACAGCTACTCTGAAACATTCACTCTGATAAAATGATGCTTTGTTAGGGTTGGCTGAGCCCACTCTCAGCCAGAATTCAGCAAAACACAGAGCTCTTATCCTTCACTTTCAAACTGCTCTCGTGTGGTGCTTACTTGGAAGCAGCTTTCATGCTTGAAACCTTGTCCTGCATTACTCTGACTTCCATCTAAGTGTGAACAGGAACCAGGGAACAAGAGTGTTATGGAGACGTGTGCAACAGAAGGGCTTAGAAGAAAAGCCAAAGTACGTAGAAGAAGGCAGGGAAAGAAAGGAGAAAGTAATGAAGTCTGACTTGAGGGATTGACTTGGGCAAGCACAACAGTTAGAATGCTCAAGACCTTGCTAACCTAGGTTTCATTTTCAGGAGTATATCTCAGCTGCAAGTCAATGGGCCCAAGGTTGTTTTGAAAACGTCATTCACGTATCCCTGTTCAAGTCAGAGGACTGAGTTTGAAAAGCATATTTGAGTTGTAAAAAGGAAGGTGTGGAAGGGGAGCATACATTTTTGCAGGGGTAATGCAGAAAAACCTTACGTTTGTGTCAAACACATGTGACTTCATAATTTGTTTGGCAGTTGCTGTGAGGTATGAAAAAATGCCCAAAATATGTTTTACATTCTCTCACTCAGCTCCTTTGAGGATATTAGAACATTAACCTCCCCACCCTGCTTACTAATTTTGTCAGTCACAAGATTGACAGAGGCCATCTTTCTATTTGTAACATAAACTACATTGATAGCAATCCTCCCTTCTCCATTTACACCAATGACAGTACTTGCAGGAGTTTAGTAAACACCTAACCTTGCCTTGTCATATCACCTCATCATAGTGAGGTATTCAACCAGTTAGATGTCTATTAAAGTGTCTAATAACCCCGCCCTTCTTCCTCAATAAACTCCTCAAACAACCATAGAATCATATCATAGAATCACAGATTGGTTTGGGTTGGAAGGGACCTTAAAGCTTATCCAGTTCCAACCCCTGCCACAGGCAGGAGCACCTTCCACTAGAGCAGGTTACTTCAAGCCCTGTCCAGTCTGACCTTGAACACTGCCAGGGATGGGGCAGCCACAGCTTCTCTGGGCAACCTGTGCCAGTGCCTCACCACCCTCATAGTGATGAATACAAGCAGAAGGATGCTATCAAAGTTACTGATACAAAGTTAGTATTTCCTACCATATATAAATGTAATTAGTATACCTTATAGGGTAAAACAGGGCATAACTTCAAATGTACTGTGGTACTTGAACTGTCTTGGGATTCCCCTGCTTAGACTCAAGAACCTGAGAGTGATAAGATGGACACATAAGGAGACAGTAGGAGAGATGAGGAATCTGACAAACTGAATGTCTGAAGGAGATGAGGAGAGCCAACATGAAATTGTTTCACTGCAGACTGCAGTCAGTTTAACTCTCCTGGCAGAACACCTCAAAGCTCCTATGAAAGGGTTGGGTAGTGAGTGCTGAGCCACTCCTGATAAAATGGAAATGAATGTTCTGCACTGTATGGGAAGAGAAAAGATTAAAATGCCTTAACTCCTTCTTACCATGTTTCAATGCTGCCTGCTATCTGTCAGCTGCAGAAGTCAGTCCCTCAGCAGGCTGCTCTGTATTTGGTGGATGAACTATTTTTATGCCATGAATAATGCTTGGCACTCAACACCCACCGGTGGTATCCTATAAATGTCACTAATGATGAGTTTGGCACTTTAGCTCAAAGCCGTGGAGCGGGTGCTACTCAAATTTGTTAGGGAATTCTTCATTTGTTCAAGTATTGTCCAAAGTGGGGTAGTTCATTTGGTTCTGTTGACTGAAGGGGAAGAGAAGAAAGAGGGAAGGTAGAGTTTGGTGAGTATCCTTGATTGGTATTAGGGAATTCTATGCTGGGAGTGCCTCTGAGGTCTGTGTGGGAACACTTGTCTGATCTACTTTGATTAAAGATCTTCCCAAAACATGTTTTACATTATTCTTTGCGTTTGAAGGCTAAAAAAGGCAGCACGGAGCTCTTACTATGTGTGGGCTGTGCCTTCAGGTTGTGCCTGGTGCAATCCTTGATATGAACCTGTCTTTTATATGGTAATTTGCCATATACCCAATTGCTGTCAAACAGGGAGTATCTCTATGACATTTTTGGTGTGTAAAACAGTTCCAGAGTGGAAATGCTTAAGGGTGGTAAAAACTTTTGCTTTTCACATATCTTTTACTATCTTGACCTTATCAGTTGGCAGGGTCTGATGCAGAAGGCTGAGCTTCATTCCGCTTGACTTTCTCAGACTTGTTTTCTTCTGTTCTGATTTCTGCCATCCTTCCACACATATGAGGTGATTTGTTGTGGCAGGATCTACACATCTTTGTGCAGGGTTTAACTTGCCCTGTTTCTGAGAGATGGGGTTTGCTAGAGCAAGGACTCTTTGGGAGAGTTGAGGCAGCCTGTTGAGTGTTTATGAAGGTAAGGTGAAGAAGTACCTGGTGTAAGGACTGAAATGGTGGGCAATTCTTGAGATAGACCATAATACTTCTTCCAATTCCTGCTTCCCAGGCGTGAGTCCATCTCTGCCCTGTCCTCTGCGCCTGCACTCTCATCAGACAGCGACAAGGATGGTGAAGATGAAGGGAATGATGAAGATGAGCTGCGTGGGCTGCAGTCATTCCATATTCAGTCCAGCTGCAACACTGACAGAGACTCAGGTATAAACGGGAGAGGGGCATGTGCAGAGATGGAGGAAAATGGCATGAATGTGAAGCGGGAGGTGAAACACGCTGGCTTAGGGATAACAAGATATGGACAGAAAGACCAAGACAGAAACAGATGGATCGATACCAATTGCCCATCCCTGTGTCTGAAGAGGGATACGTTTCAGAGTTCTCTGATTAGAGATCAGTGTTAAATTATCAAGTTTCTTGCTAGTTCCACCTGGCCAAACAAAATCTGAGTTAGTGTCCTGGGCTTGGGTATACAAGCTGTTAGAAATCGACAGAAATCAAAAGGTACCTCATGGAGGGTTCTGGAGATGTCTGATAAAACTCACCATGGTGATTACCATTGCTGACTGGAGGTATTTTTACCACTGATACTAGTGTTTTGAAACAGGTTTTTTCCTAAGGCTTTAGTGGACCCTGTGGCAAGCATTCTGCAGTGGGTCTGCTGAGTAAGCAAAAATCTTATATAAAACAGTACACCTCCATTAATATTATGTAGTAGTCTAGGAAAGCATGTGTTAGCAATGTGTGCTGGTTCAAAAAGTGTAGGAATGCTGCCTTTGAGGAAAAATGACATAGGAGGTCTTTAAAAAGCTGGGCTGCTGGTCAAGGATATCAACTAGATATATATCTTTTTACCTTTCCAGATCCAGACCTTACCCTTTCAAGAAGCCTTTCCCACTGGGAAATGAGGAGGGTGAGTTGTTCAACCTTCAAACTGTGTTTCTTGTCATAGTGAAACAGGAAAAGAAGTTCCCATGGGGATTAAAAACTTCATTTACCGTGGTGGGAAAGGTGCAGCTGTGGTGGGAAACCAGTGAGAAGCCTCTCTGTGAAGAGTGACTAGAGAGTGGCAAAGTAGAGCCTAGTTTAAGAGACAGGGATCACTTGGGATCTTTACATCAGTATCTTTCCATCAGTTGTTATGCTTTTGCCCCCTCATTCTGGCCTGAATCTTATGTGATACTGAAGCTGATCATATACTTGGATCTGAGTGATGCATTTGAATGTTCATTTATACAAGAAGCAGCAACAGAAGTATCATCTTAACACTTTATGATTAAGGGAGGGAGTTTAAGCTGTCTCACAGACAACTTTTATGGAGATGGACATAACTGTGTCTTTTTGTGGGTCCTGTGTTTCCTCTACTGTCTTTCCATAAGTAGAAAGCTCCATCCCTAAGCCTGTCTTTGAATTTCCTTCAGGCCAAAGAGATAGCAGCTATCCAGCGCTCAGAGGCACCGATGAGCAACATACCTCGGCAGCGTGGGCGCTGGTCCCAACCAACCAGCAACATAGAGATGACTGTGAAATCCATGCTTGACTTGCGTCAGTTGGAGTCTTTCTCTGTTTCCCGTTCTCCAAGTCGAGACTCACTGTCTCAGAACAGCAATGGGGATGACAAAGAAGAGCAGGCGGATCTTCCTGTGCACATCAACAAAGTAAGGGCATTACCACTCTGAGGTGAATCTACTCTGAGTGCATATGTCCTGCCTCTATTTATTGTTACCTGCATATATTACTACTTGATGACATTTTTCATATCATTAAAGGTGGCTCTAAATGCCTTCAGAGAAGCTTGTTTAGATAATTCTGTTGTAATTAGTACTCCTTCAGTGTGTGGCTCTGCCATCTTAGGATCAAGGTTTCTTTCCAATAACAGGGAAGCCCTCATGTTTTCCCTCTAGCTCTTTAATTATTTATGGAAAAAAGAAACTGAGCTCAGAATGACAGATGTGTCCCTGATTACCTGTTAGCTCGCTCTGCTGGGGTGCAGTTTCTTGACCAGTAGCCACTGAAATGTGGCTCATATGACGCCCTTATGATGGGTTGTGCTAGATTATTAAATTCTCTTTAATCTTTGTATCAGTGGATCACAGCAGGTAATGTGTACTCATACCTCAGAAAGCTAATGCTGTTTTCCAGTAGCAATCTCTCCTGGTGCCTAACTTCATTAGAATTTTTCCTTCCTTTATAACTGCATGACTGAGAAGAGGGTTGGGCTTGTTGCATGCAGTAAATCAGTGGTTTTCAGCCGTGGCCCACAGACTTCTCTGGGTTATGTCTGATCAGCCTATAAAAGGTAATGGAAGAACCTGCTGCCACGTGGCGTGTACTTCTGATGTGTGGTCAGAGAGGGATAGGGAGTTCAGTACTTTACCAGGGAATTTTAGGGGATTGCAAACAGGAAACAAAATAGGAAGCTACAGCAGGAGTCTGTCAAGTTCAGTAAATAAGGAACAGGAAAGTCATAGGAGTGCTATGTTTGCTGTTATCAGATTTCTGATCATATTCGGTGTTGTAATGCCTGCTTTCTAGCTCTGCGCAGCACTTGCTGCCTTAAGGAAAAGCACTGTTAATATCCAGTTTTCTCTCTTTTAAAACCAGGTTGGCAGCTCGGTACCTCCCCAAGATAACCAGTCTTGTGTGCGACCCCAAATGATTCGGCTTGTGTCTTGTGAGGAGGGGATTTTCTCTCAGGAACTGGAACCTTCTGAGAGTGAGGAATGTGTAATCTACCCTGACCAAGATGAAATCCATCCCACAGACCCTAGCAGGTTAAAAATAAGCTCTCTGCTGTGCATGGCTTAGATGCTTCTGTTTTAGTTTGCTTGTAGCTTGTGTGGTAACTTGGATGAGTTGACTTACTACGTGATTGATGTCAGGCATGTTTAGTTGAGAGCTTTATGCCAGCTGGATACTAAAAGAATCTGAAACTAAGAAGGCACCATTAACATAATCTTTCCTCTTGAGGAAACTGCACATTAGTAGCTTCCTCCAAGTTTTTTTGTTGAATAAACAACTTGGAGCAGCCTTTTTACTCTCTCCCTTATCTGGGTTGAAATAAGCAAGGGAAAACTTGGAAGCTGGGAAAAAAACCACCAGTGATGTGTACATGGCAGTGAAATGTCCGCGCAGGAGAACTGACAGGACATGTACTCAGGAGAATTTCAAACCTAATTGGGCAAGAATTTAAGAAATGTATAATGTGATGACCCTATTGTGGGAAATAGAATGGCTTGCATGAGATAGATGGAATTGAAAAGGACACTGGAGACAGCGGAGACTGTTTTTCTTCTGCTGCTGTTTCTTTTCGTTTAGTTTTACCTCATTTAATATCCTGTTTCTTCCCGTGCTCCATTTTTTTTCCTTCCCTGAATTTTAATCTTCCTTTCCCCTCTTAACCTGATGCAAATAGCTGTTTAATTCCTCTTTCTTCTTCTGCTCTGTTACAAAGAGTGAGCTGACAGCTTTAGACAGGCTTTTATGCAAGAGTGCATGCCAAGGTTTTGCAGCTGAAGCTGCTAGCCTTCTCCCAGTTTCTCTTTATTTACATCTTTAATTCTATTATGATAACATTTGGATAGAGCAGACCCATGTGCTGCTCTGTCATGTAAGAAAGGGAGGCCCTGTGATGATGTTAGATACAGACTGGACGTACCTCAATGTATACAGAGTTTGCAAACTGGGAGGAGTAGTTGCCGTTCAGTTCCATTGGGTGACTTCTGCATCCTACTTTTGCATTGAAGTACATCTGAAACCAAAGGATTTCATGAAGTGGAAAACTGAAGTCTTCAGTTTATCAGGCAAAAGAATGGTGCTGTTGTCGTTTGACAAAGTAAGACTCATGAAATCACAAAAGAAACCAGGAACCCTGTCCCACACCACTGTATTTTTGTAAGACATTCTTCAGTAAATTAGTCTTGCTTGAACTCACAATCTTCTCTATTTTGCAACACAGAAGTTGCCCAAAGAAGCAGGTCATAAATATGGAAAAAATAGTGTATTAGGGCTCATGTTTATGGCAAACTGGAGTTTGTTTCATGCAGGTATAGGCCTGGGTTTAGTCCCTTCTTCATTGTGGAGACCTCTACTATTTGTTCCTCACCTATGCTGAAAATAACGCCAGGGCATTGCTGTGCTGGTGCCTGGTAGTCATGGGAAACTGACAACACCCAGAAAGTCAGACTTCACTGTCCAAGCTTAATGAAATGCAAAACCCATACTGTGTAATGATGAGAGAAATCAACTATTTTTTGTCTTTAAAAGCCTTACTTCTGTAATCAAGGGTGTTACCAGCACAGGTAAGGCCTTATTAAAGTTAGAATGTGCTTCTTTACGTGTAAAACAAATATGTCTTCTAGTGCTGTATCTTTCCTGTCTCTTTTGTAGTGAGTTCCAGGTAAAAGCACTGCCCCACGGGAAGCTAAATAGAGGTTATCACAGTAATGGATGCCCAGACAAACACAGTCCTGACAGTGCCTGCTCTGTAGATTACAGCAGCAGTCGTCTGTCCAGCCCAGACCATCCAAATGAAGGTAAGATGCAGAGACATTACGAATGTGATTATACATGATGTTGAGCACTGCAGGACCTTGCTGGGGTGGTTCTGTGCCATGTTTATCAGTTTCTATCCTGATCTGTAATACTTAATCCTCTTAATAAGCTGAACTGAGATCACACTCCTATTAATCTTGCTAGTATTGCTGTAAAGATTGAGGTGCATTTCAACAGGCACTTTAATGAAGCCACTGTTGAAGCAGGAGTTGGTTAAAGTGCACTTCCCATGTGCACCTTTGGTTTTCTTTTACATTGCCTAGATAAGGAGCCAGGTTTAGTATTGATTATCCTACAGGCTATGCTGCTTATGGGGTATGGTAGGTTAGAGAATTAATGCTGACCGACTTTTGCTTTAACATTCTAGGTTTGATTTAGCATCTTTGCTGAATGTTAGGTTTTGGTTCTGTTTTTACCCTGCCTAATGTTACTGTGATTATGCTGTTACAGCACTGAGGTGTTTTGCCTTTTCCCAGATTCTGAAAGCACTGAGCCACTCAGTGTGGATGGCATCTCAGACCTGGAAGGAGAGGAAGGAGAGGAGGATGTGGCTACTAGTGTGCCGGAGGGAGAAATCCCCCAGATACATGATCAGGAAAAATTCCTCAAGGAGCATTTTGGGAGCCTGGGCAGCACTGATGGAAAAGGTACTGCTCGATGGGGGGGAATTTGGGACGGCATTCCAGATTTGTTACCTGTATAAATCAAATGAGGCTATAAGTTCTGCTAGGCTTTTGTGGCTGTGTGTACGGGAGGGCAAAAACGGGGAGCCAATATAGAGAGGCCTAAAGAAAAGTGACATGTTAACTTCATCGCTCTGTGTGTAAGTCTGTGTGGATGGGATTGGGGTCTGTGTCAGTTTGGGTTAAGGGTTGTCCATGGAATCCTGAAGAAACATTCTCTTAGCTCCGGACTAGTTGTGTATGAAGGTATTACACTGTGTGTTCACCCCCCCCATAGGTGACATGTAGTGGCCTCTAGTGGTCTGTTAAGGCATAACAAATGTCACAAAAGAAAAGGCTGAAATGCTGGGTGGAGGGAGGGAATAAGAGGAGACATCAGAGTGGCAAAGAAGCTGGTTAGTCTTTATCGACCAACTCCAGCACAAAGCGTTTCTTTTTAGAGTTGATAATGGTTGCAGACAGCAATATCTATGTGAGTTGTCTGGTTTCTGTTTCATTTTTAATTTATTTTCTTCTTTTGATTGGTTTGTTTTCTGCTTGATGCCAGCTCTTTACAGTCTTGCAGGCAGGATAGGACACAAAGGAAAGCGAAAAAGGAGGGGGTGTACCCTTAGGGAGAGTAGCAGTTAAAGCAGAGTAATCTAAGTAGAAGAGAAAAGGCAAAGGCAACGTGAAATGATTTCATTCTCTGTGGTTTTAGCTCAGAAAATCCCCTTGGATATGGGGGAACGTTTGCTAGTCTCTGCAATAAGAAAAGGCATGTGTCAGAATGTTTGTTCTGTAACTAAACTGCTCCCTTTTCTCTCCCCTTTAATCAAAATTTTAGGTGGCTCATGTAGGAATCTGGAAGGAAGTGAAAACCTCAGCATATCTTCTCGCTTTCTTTCCCAGTCCCCGGCTCTCAGGTACGGCTCTGCTTGTTTTGAGTGTTTGTCTGTCTGTTTTTACTAATGTGAGTAGGTCTTACACTAGGCCCTGCATCAAAGTAGTTGAGCAAACTTCGCTCTTGGTGTGCCTATGCCAAGAAAAGTGTTAGCATAGCACCTGGCAGGCTGGCTGCAGACCCTTGTGATTTGGACAGGCCATCCTGTGTCACTTCAGCTGTTATGTTTCTTCCTACAGCAACGCTGTTTTGTCCTTTTTCCTCTTTCAACAATGCACTTAATTGTTTCATTATTAATGCCTGAATTGATTAAGTTGGAGGAATTGCTCCTAATATAATTTACTCTTCACTGTTTATACTCTTTTTATTCTTTTGCATTTCATTCAGCTTGGACAATGAAAGTAGGCTTGTCAACTTTGCCTTTGTCTTGCAGTCCTTTCTTACTCAGCTTTGTTTCAGTCTTCACAGAGTGCTCTGGTGTCTCATAATAGCCCCATGGGGTTATTATTCTTCCAATAAAACCTCAACCCTAAAACACCCCAAACGGCCTCTCCAAGCTGTTTCCCTTGTTTAAAAGGAAGCCTAACAAAACAAACAAAAAAAGCAGGCAAGAAATGGGATAAATACTTTGATTGATTTGGGTTCATAAATGTTTTAAACAAATTCTCCTTTATTCCCCATAAATGACCACCTGAAATGTCATTTCAAAGTAATTTCATTGTATAGGACTGAGCAGATTTAAGTACATCTTCTATGGCTTACCAGCTGTGTCTGGATTCACCATGTCAGGGAATTTTTTTCTCATTGCTGTATTCAGCTGCTGCTGCTGCTGTCAGGAGTGCTTCTTAGTCTGTCTTGTATTGGGACCTTAAGTATGTTTGGGAAGAAAGCCAGTGGATAGCTAATGTGTAAGCTTCTGGAGAATTGCAGTGGTGAGCGAAGGAAGTCACTGGTGCTCTAGAGATGTAATAAGAGAGGTAGTTTTATGTTATAAAAAAACCTCTGGGCTTTTAATCACTTCAGCTGTTCAAACATGCCAGATTGACCGTTGCTTCCTTTCTGAAGTATGCCCACTGTGCTTGTATGAAGTGGAGAGGAAGAGGAAATTAGGCTTTCCTGTTGTAGATACCAACCAGCTTTCCTGGTAATTATGCTTTCATAATGTTAGGAAAGCATAATTATTTCCTCTTAGGTTATCTTAGGATTGAAAAGGTTTAATTGTTAGTAAGGTGAGCTGGGAGAAAAGACCTGACTTTGCCCAGTCTTCCTTCTGCCTGAAATTTTTCCTTCTCTTTTGCCTTCACCTTTCACAGTGTTCTCCCTGGAAACAGTAACCCAATAGTATATGATTGTGCAGCCTAAGGTCAAATGCCTGAAGACCAGTGCTTCGGGCTGGGTAGAATAAAGTGTAACAGACTAAGACATTTTTGATTTAAAAAACCCTCAAAACAAACAGATAGGGAAGGGCTCTTTATCCCAGCGAAACTGGCTTAATGTGTGTGCCTGTTTGTCCAGGGCAGTTACATTTACTTGTTTTAACTGGGGTTTCTTTATCGTGTTCTCTAGACGATTGTCACTCTCTTCGTCAAATCTGATACTGGATTCAAAGCCCATCGAGCTGCCAACCCAGACCAGTCATTTTACACCAGATCTCTTGAAAAATGGCAGCAGCCAGCCTGGTGATGCTTTGGAGAACAACCAGCTGCTGGAGGGTGTAAATTCAAATCAGGCTCCTCATGTCCAGAAAAAACGGAGGTCAGCTCTGGAGGCCAGCAGAGTTGGTATGGCTCCTGGACGGGTTATTGCATCCTTCCCAGAAGGCCCTGTGAATGCAGTGATGAGAAAGGCACAGTCAGTTCATGACCTCGTTCATGAGGGTAAGGACACAGGTTGGGATGGTGATCTAAACCTGAGAATGAAATGGGGAGATTTGAGCTTGACTATAGATTCAGTTGAAGCTTATGTCTTTCTGCATTCTGAGCTACAGGCTTCTAGAGTCTTCTAACTCTTAGCCTGTCATGGGAAGATATTTTTAATTTGTAATGCAGATGCTGGTCTCCTAATTATCAGTCTGTGATGTTTGTCTGGCAGCTGCGAGAGGAGCAATGACAAGGGTGAAATGAACTATGTGTAAAGAAATTCTCTCTTGCTGTGGGTGGTTGCTTCAGGCCAAGACTGAAGTTCCTCAGGGTGGGGAGGAAAGAAAGAGGGAAGGAGGAGATAGTAATAGGAAGCTTACTGTATCCATGCCCTCTGTATGAAAGAGCTCCACTTTTGAAACAACTTATGAACCATCAATAAGCACTCAGTTCATTTTAAGTAAAAAATAAAGCTTATCACCACAACATCATAAGTAAGCTTTTGCCTGCTTCCTTTGGCCTCTCAGTTAATGGTCACAGTGGTTTGAGGTCTTCTGGCCGTACACTTAAGAGCAAGTCTCTCTTATCAGGTAAGCAGGATGATGGATGGACAAAAAAGAAAGCTGTTGAGGCTTGATGATATTAACCTGAAGTAGTGGTTCTGTACATCTCTCCCAGGGGCTGAGCTGAGGCTGGAGCAGCTCTGTTACTTTCCGATTTTGGAATTCACTGCAGGCTCTTGTCTCTTTTTTGGTATGTTTGTCTGTTTAATTTTTACAGATAAGGGTCCTGGAGTGATATCCTCTGCCAAGCAGCGTCCTCAGACTCTTGTGGAGGTTGAGAAGGATCCCAGACCTAACAATTGCAGGGTGTTATCAGCCAGTATGTTGAAGATGGATGGATCTGGTGCTCTGCTGGCCAAAGATGTCAGGGCTGCAAAACCCAAGTCCTACATGAACCCCACAACCAGCTTCCGGGCTAAGATGTCAAGGAGCATATCCGTAGGGGAAAATCTGTACCTTGGTTACTCCTCTGAAGTGCTGGCAGATGGGAGGACTAGCCCTCCAGTGGCAGAGAAGACACAGCTTAGTTCCACAGCAGATGCTGAGAAGATGAAGGCACCAGTGAAAGAAAATGTTCCAGTGAAGCCAGCACTTCAGCCAGTTGTAAACTGCTCATCTCCCAAGTCCTTCCACAGCAAGTTGGCATCATCAAACCGAGCACATCTGATTCTTGACATTCCCAAGCCATTGCCTGATAGACCCACCCTGGCCTCCTTCTCACCCACTACTAAAACAAAAACCGTGCTGGAGCCACAGTCTCCACAGTCACCTGCTGGGGCCTGTAAAAAGAAACCCTCTTTTCCTGAGGTCCGAGCCTCCAAGAAAGAGAATCTAACTGCTGGGTCTCTGGTTCCTGGTAGAGAGGTTTCAACAGGACCTACTAAGGAGAGCCCAGTGGAGAGCCCAGTCTCAAGGATGGGTTGCCAGGATGAGCCAGGGGTCACTAGTCCAAAACTGTCAGAGAGCCAGCAACCAAAATCTCCTGAGGGCGCACTGCCCAGGAGCAGGGAGCGGATCACCGGCATCGCCTGTGTGCTGGACACCCAGCCTGGACTGTGCCCACTAGACCCCATCAGGCCGAGGTCTCCTACAGCTATAACTGCCTTGGCACAGGTCTCAGGTGTGCATGGATACCCATCTCTTATCTTCCCCCTTCTGTCTCCTGTCTTTGTGAACCGCCTCACGATCCCATCACATTTCTTTACGTCCAGCTTCTGGCCTGTCTCGTCCTGTCTGCACCTGTCTCGTTCCATAAGCCATACCCTCAATGGTGAGACACTTCTTCAACCTGACATCTTTTTCTGAGTCTTTGATTTCCATTTTCTCTGGGTCTTATGTCTGAAAGTCCTTTTTAGCTGAATGTTTTGTAGACCTCAGCTCACTCATGTTTGCAGATGTACAATTAACCTGTAGGGGCTCTAACCTCTTTCAGGTCAATGCTAAAAGCTTATGTGCTGGGAATCCCCATGAATGTGTAGATCACATCCCCTGTGCCCCTCTTTGAGCATTTCTGACCAGCAGATGAAGGTGCAGGCCAACATGAGCTAGCTGAATGTAGCAAGCACAGATAATAGTGACAGTGGTTATGCCAGGCAGCTCAGGCTTTACTTTGTTAATGTGCAAGTGTGCGAGCTTCAGAAAGGTTTGCATACAATTGTCTTGCATAAGGTAATGCTTGACCAAGGTGAGTTCCTTGCTGTAGTGACCCGTGAGAGTGAGAAGGTCTCTGTGCTTTGAGGAATGTCTGCAGACTGGGCATGCAACACATGTGCAGGCCTAGACTTTGGCTTTGAGCATAAAGAGCAGAGTTTAATTTCAGTTTCAGGGAAACTGTTTTACCTGCTGAGAACAGCTCTCAGGTCTGTTACAGGCACTGGTTTAGAATACTTCAATCAAATGAAAACTAGGTAACTTCAAGCTGAAGCAAAAATCCTGCCCTCCAGTCCAGTGGCAGAGAAACTGCCAGAGTTTTGTCTTTTGGAAATACTCCTTCCTGAAACACTGAGCCGAGTCGTGCAGCAGGAAGCTGGATGTTAAGTACTGCACTGATACCTTGTACTTCCAGGGGCTATACACAGCACAGTTTAAATCCCTTTTGCTATGTTGTTCTTACTCATATCTGTGAAGGGATACTTCTCTAATCTCCTGATTGATTACTATCTGGTGCCAGGCTGCTCCATCATTCATTGCAATGGTTAAGCATAGTTATGGGTTTCATGCCCTGTTATTTTTCATTTTGCATTTCTAGAGGGATCAGATGCCTAAGATTGAAACACTCTCCTGTAGAACAGGAAATGTGATGTTTTGTCTGAGGACCTGCTGTTCTTATAGCATAGCTGCTCTGTAGAACAGCGAGAGCATCTGAAACGTCCACTGTGGCTTCTGCATATCGTAGTACAGCACTTTAGAACTGTAGGGTTGATAGAGACCTGTTCTGCTTCTGACTTGCTCTGTGACTTCGGGTTTCCACTAAATTTTTCTGTCCTTCCGTTTTCCTGCCTGTATAACAGCTGCAGAGAAGAGACTTAATTGTTAAAGCATTTTGACATCTAAACTTACAATGCTATAGATGTGCTTAATACTGTTGCTCTGTTTAACATTCTCTGCTGGTTTCTGAAGAGCTCTGTTGTGCACACCGAAGAGGCAGAAAATGCCTGTTACTCAAGCGTTTATGTTATGTTTGTGACCTGGCAGCTCACAGAGCTGGAGACCAGCATAAAAAGCATGATCAGAGGCGAAATCCAGAAATGATCATGAGAAGAAACAGCTGGGTTTAAAACAAAAAGAGGGGAGGAGGGCAGACAGAAAGAAGAAAGGGTGAAAAAAATGTGAGAATCTTGGACTGCTGAATCTGGCTGAAGCCCACTGTGCTCAAACTCTACAAGGCTGGGTGATTTGGGAACAAAAACTGCAGATGGAAGGATTTATTCATGCCCCTTTGTTCTTCTGTATGTGTTTATGTATAGATAGATGTTCCTCTAGGTAACATTTGTTTATACATCTAGATGTATTCATAAAATTAGCTGAGGTCCCCTCCAGCCTATTCAAAGCCAGTGTTCTTAGAATTGCAGAAGTAATAGTGCTAATGTGACCAAGTTTTGGTTTTAGTTAACTAAAAGAAGTCGAATGGCCTTTGTCCAGGCCTTTGCAAACTGAAGTTAACTGTAGATTGTGTGTCTGTGTCTTTGTTTGTGGTTTAACTCATGAAAGTGTTTATTTTATTAAAACATTGCAAGCCTTAAAATTATGCTTTGTTATAATGTCTGGAGGGAGTAGGCAGAAGATGGTGGCCTTCAGTTGCTTGCTTTTATTTTTCATCTTTGAATTACAGTGTGTCAGCAGTGCGTATTCTGGGTTGCTCAGAAATGTGATTCTGTTGTGACTGAATTTGTCTGTCCACATGCCTCTGGACCTCAGTCCTCACTAGAGAACACTGTGATAATTCGGTATAATCCTTCATCTTCAGCACTTAATTGTATACTGTGTGGTACACTTTGTTGTACCCGTATGGAGAATACATGAGGGAAAGTGTATAGATTTCTGATTGGGTGGAGGCTAAATTAGAGACTCCTCAAATCAGACCCTTTTGCTACTGGAAGAATTTATTCAAACTTGACTTTAATTGTAATTGAGAATGGCGTGGGTAATCTGTGCTGTCCTTAACTGTAGCAGAAATGTATGATCTGAGAAAAACCATTGCTCACTTTGGAGAGGCTAAAGACTGGAAAAATAGCAATGTTTGAAACAAGCAGCATCTCTAGGTATGAAGGAAAGTTAATGTAGAACTTCCTGAATGTCTGTTTAATGATTGGCTTAAACCAGCCCTATAAATTGAATGAGAATTGTGTGCACATTGTCTTTCAAGTATATATATTAAACAAAAGAAAGATTATGTACCCAACTGTGAGATGGCAGATATTGGAGTGTGACTGTGCCTTACTTTGGGTTTTTATTTTTCCTTCCCTTCAGGATCATGCATCAGTGTAGAGCAGTGTGAGCACATGGTATCCGAGCTCCAGGACAGCATGCGCAAAGCCATTCATCTTTACCGCATGGTGAGTGACCTCCGACAGGGGTTCTGTTACAGTGATTTGGCTTTTACAGCCCACGAGCTGTGTGCTTCCTGGCTTGAGGGGTTCTTGTTACTGCTGCCTGGTTGTGCACTTGACTGCACCGTAAGCTTGACCTGGGGAGGCAGGAAGTCCTGATTTCCAGCTGTTGGGTTTTCCAGTGGCTTGCTATGGTACTCTTTTCAGTCTGTTTAGCCTATCTGTTAACTGAAGATAACGGTATGCTCTTTTTCAATTAGGGAATTAGTTAATATTTATACAGTGCTTCAGAGAGATGAAATGTTTTAGGAGCTTTAAGTTTTATTGTCCCCATCTGTTCTGTCTCTGATGCCTGGGAAAAGGATTAGCAAGTGAGAGGTCCCATGGGAATCCAGCTGTGAGATGGAACATGCAACCACTCACCTGTCCCATTCACTGCCAGACTAGAGTTACATGCAGAGCAATATCATAACTCTTCCTTTCTTTGCTTAGCATCAGTCTGTCAGGCCTCTTGGAATGTGCGTGAAACTTTCACATCAGACTTCTGACATGTGGTCCTCTGCAGCTCTTGCCTTAGTGCTTGCGTTAGCTCTCCTCTGACCTTGCTCGGGTTCCTGTGACCAGCTGTGTCTGGCAGACAGGAAGAAAAGGAGACTGGCCCTGTGCTGCAGCTGGGAAACGTAGCACCTCCTTAGGCCCAGTATAAGGGAAACACTACCTGAAAATGTGCTTCCCATCTATCCTGTTGTGATGCCTCTGGATTTTGTGTGACTAGCAGAATTGGATGCATGTCCTGCTTTATGCCTAAATTGGCAATCTTGAATGTTGAAGAAAACAACACTTGAGTGGTCTGCGAATCTTCATGGCTTCAGTTCTCTGAAGGACTGAAACTGCTTACTCAGTGCTCAACTTAAATCCCAATATATCCTTTCCTTTTCTTCTCTGTTTCCAGGTGTTAAATGATACAGAGTCTTCTACTGACAAAGATAAAATAGCAGGCCTCCTGACAGAAACATTCTCCTCAATGAAGAAAGAACTGGACTCTCTGAAGGAAGAGGAAAAGCTTCCAAAGGTTAAGGAGGTACTGACAAAGCCACAAGATACCACTGCTCCATCAAATGAGGGATGTGGTGCCAATCTACCAAGTCCCAAGAGTTTGGGGGATCAGCAGACACTAGCTCTGCTGGAACAGTACTCAGAGCTGTTGCTACAAGCTGTGGAACGACGCATGGACAAAAAACTCTAAGAGGGGTGGCTTTCAGGTGTTTGTGAATACACAGAGATAATCCCAAGAAGAGGACCACAGAGAGAGCTTCAGACTGATGCTATCATCACACTGCTCTAGGGCTGGTGGAGAGACCTTTAGAAATTGATTTCCTCAAGCCCCTACAACTGACTTGCTCTAATTCTTAGCAATGTGCTGGCCACGATTTTGATACTTTTTTTCTCCCAATGGTCTTCAGCTTCCTGTCTCTAGACAAAATCTTGAAAGAGGAGTTTGGAGAAATTGCCTTGAGATTTCTTCATAGCCAGGAGGTCAGGATTGGGTGGCACCTAAGGAAAAAGGGCCACACAAGCTATCCAAGAAATTCTGAACTGCTGACTAAACACAAAGGAGTCCAGTTTAAGCCAATCCCTTCTCCAGGGCTTCATGAGAATCAAGAAGCAGCCTTTTAATGAGTTTATTTATTAATTTATTTTTCTGACTGTTGCTCTGTGTCACATTTGTGGCCGTTATCTTTGTCCTTTAACAAAAACTGTCAATCCCTTTCCCATATCCCAGCGAGAAACAATCTCTGTATTATAAACCCCCAACAGGGAGACAGGCTGGAGTGTCTGTGCAATTAATGAACTGTTTTCTGCTTAAATCTTGTCTTGCTGTTCTTTCTTTTCCTGCCTCAATTTTGTTATCTAGAGTAATCCTCCTGTTGTCATAACGACCCTGTCTGCTTTTCTCTTGTTTCAAGGCAGTCCCCACACTGTATTTTATCTGCATTCACCTCTGGGGGAAGGTTCTGCAACCCTTGGACCATGCTTTGGAGATTCATTGATGAATTCAGTAGTGATATTTTTAATCTGGAATTTAGCATTATGTTGATGCTTCATGACTGGGTTTTCTGCAGCCATTTTAAAACCAGGATTTGGATACAATTATGGACATTTGTTTCAGCCACTTTTCATGAATAGGAATTGGATATTGACTTTGTTGTAACTGGGAAATTTGAGCTGATGATTTATTTATTGAGAAGTGACATGGAAAAGCTGGTTTCCATCTCTTACAGTGTTAACTCTGGATTTGAGGTATCTTCAGTGCAGCGGCTCATCCATGGCATTTGTTCATTCTACTGTGACAGGAAAATGGTGTTTTTCTTGCTTTTCTAGGAAAACAGACTATTTCCATCCCAAGATCTTTTGTTAAAGCTATTTCAACTACCCACAGAGAATAGTTTTGTGAGAACTTCAAACAAGATATTTTAGGATGTGATTACCACCATTTCCCCATTCCCCAGCCTCTTTGATTTTCATGAATTCTTGGTCTGAGAAGTAGAAAATCTTCCCTTCTTGCGTTTGTATGTGCAATACTCTTCTCAGCCTGTGGAGCTTCTTGAAGCCCATGCTAACTTGTGTTTGTTCTGGTGTAAAACTGTCCAGTGATGTGAGCTTTTTTAGGCAATGATAAACTAAGAAAAAACAATTTGAAACCAATGAAATTCTTCAGCACCTTCCTCCTTAGCCCCACTCCTTTCCACAACAGGGTCAGATACCCCAAATTATTTATTTCTTCCTCCATCTCCAGTCTGACTTGTATTTAGCTTAAGGCAGTAATCCAAGTTAATAAAACTGATCCCAGTTGATAAAACTGATGCAAGCAGCAAGCTTTCACAGGAGAGAGACTCCTAGCATCTGTGGAAGTCACTGTGGAAGGCAGCCAGGCGGCATCGCTTGGTTCCACAGATTACAGGCTTGAAGCAGTTTTCTCTCATTTTACTGTCCTGGCTGTCATCTCTTTGAAACCCCGTGGCATTTGGAAACGTGGTCTGTTGACTTCTCTGTCTTTCTGTGACCGGGGATCTGCAGTGCTGCCCGTTTTAATACGGGGCTGGCCAGGCCAGTGTAGGATTCAGAAAAACTCCAGGGCTGGATACTCTGCAGTTTTGAGAGCTTTCCAGCTCCTTCTGTCTGTAAGTTAAACTGCGTAATCATGTTTCAGGTGTCCTTGCTAAGTTTTTCTTCCATGGGCTTGTACTGAACCTTTGAAAGTGTTGCTTTCTAGTTCTGTCTCAGCATCGCTGTGTGCTGAATCAGTTCATGTGCTCAGTCCTGTAGGCAGCTTCTCTTGCACAGACAGGCTTTGCCAAGGAGAGCAAGTTGAAAAGCAGGGGAGAGATTTCTGGCAGTTTCCTTGAGTGAGAAGGCGTGCTGAAGATGCCACGAGTGGAATGTACGGTGGCAGTCATGTTGGGTCTGTGATGGAGTTAGTATGGGTTAAGCTTGCTTTTGAGGTGGTTAGTTCCTTCACTTTCAGACTGTGAACATATGTCCTAGTATACAGGAAATACTGGGGCCACAAGACACTCAGGTAAAATAGCAGTCCCTTCAACCCAGGTATCTTTTGGTACTGGTGATGACGGTTTGAGGGTCTTTTATATTACTCCCTGTGCAATTTTATTCTATTCTATTAACCATTGAGGTAGTGACAAAAAGGGTCAGAGATGATATGGAAAAGCTAGTGGCAAGAATGGAATTCCCGTTAAGACAAAGAGCAACAACCAGTGACGATGGCATAGAGATACGAAATAAAGCTCCTTGGAAATGAGTTTTGTGAAGCAAATCTAGTTCTTAAGCTGATCAGAGTGGGGTTTGCTTCCTGGAATCAATTTTGCTTGGGGTCATAGCTGCATATGAGAAACCAGAGGTAAAATGTGATCAGAATGATGGCAAGAGAAGTGTTGGGCAAGTAGATCAGCTGGAGGAGGTTGCGTAGTTTAAAATAGATTAGAATAGTAGATGTAGGATACTCAGGAAAATAGAGTAGAAATAGAGATGGTCTTGGCCTGAGGAACACCATTTAGCCAATACCTGTGAAAGAGATAGTACAGAAAAGCTTCAGGAAAGTAGATTTAGGAGTGAGGTGGTGATCTGTAATTGGAGAATGAATTGGAAGGGGTTTGTTTTTAAATGTGTCCTGTTGGGCCTCTTGTTTCTTCATTTGCTGTCCTCTAAGCAACTAGTTTTTCTTGAATGGCAAAGTCATGAGCTGTTCGGCTTGGATGTTATGAATTTAGTAGTAGAAGTCCAGTAAAGGAGATGCTGGTGCTAATAATATGTGGTGAGGAGATAAGTGTTGCTCTTTATATTTTGAGACAAATCCAACTTAATCTTCCCTGATAGCTTCCTATTGCTGGCAGTAGGAAGTACTCCTGAAAATTCTAGTTTACAGAACAAAGAGAGCGTAAATGTGTTACATTTTGTTGCACCTTGTGAATATGTTTCACCACAGGCTGTCCATTGGGCCAGGTAGAGAAAGACCGAGTGATGAAACTGCCTGGGAAGTGAAGAGGCTTGTGGGAGGAGGTTAATAAGCTTGAGTCTGTCCCTCTTACTAGGTTGTGATCCCTCTTACTGATTTGTGTTGGTGTTAGCTTAGGCACAACCAGATATGTTATTGAGATGAGTTACTTGTTTAACATAAAGCCTGAAGAAATAATTTGGACCTGCCTGTCCTCTTTACATCCATTTGTCCCCTCCAACCCAACATTCCTGGTCAAAATGACAGTAGTTGTTGGTTTGGGGTTTTTGTTTCCCATCTTGTAAATAGTATTGCTTTGCCTGTGGGACCCCTGGGTTTTCACTCTTGGGCTCTCTCAAACTGGTGCAGTAGGAAGGGCTGCAAGCTGAGAAGGCGGCACACTCTGTTTTACTTGGGGCTGCAGGCAGGTACCACCTTCCTCCTCCCCATCCCTTGTAGCACCCAGGAGCTGTGTGTCTGGGAGTCTTGTGTTTCTCCCACCTCCTCTCTCAGGTTGTCCTCTCCATTCCATGCGACCTCCCAGGCTCATGGCTGGGGCTTTAGAGCAGCACCTTCCCCAGTCCCCCGTTTTGCAGACTCCGTTGTGACTCAGAGGAATTGGGGCGTTTATTCCCGAGAGTAGAAACATACAGACCTAATTTTTTTAAAGAAGAAAGAGTATGTATATAATTATATATAAGGAAAAAATACAGGTATTTAAACACCATTGGCAAATTCATGCATGTATGTGGTGTCTCCCCCCACCCCACCCCATCGGATGTGTAGCATCCAGGATACTACATGACACAAACCTCATTGGAAAGACAGGTTGTTCTCGCAGCCCCTTACTGAGCAGGTTCTCCCTTCTCTGGATAGGGACCAGCACGTCCCGTATTTCGGATCGCGTGTGTGAATAGCACGGGGGCAGCTGTGTCCATAGGGATAACGTCCGTAGGGATAACCTACAGGGGCAGGAGCGTTAGGAATAAGCCATGTCCCCTCGGCATGCCTGGTGTACGGCTGAGGCACCAGGCAAGCACCGTGTGCTCCAACACTACCCCATTCCTTCACCCCTTAGACAAAGACAAAATCCCTCCTTTATTTATAAATGTGTGTTTTTATACTTTTGGCTTTAGGTAAAATAATCCTTTAAATGTCCTTTTTTTTTTTTTTAGCTGGAAGAAATAATACTACAAATCGTTTGTTGGTTTTTTTTGCACTGTGAGGCTCCCCCGGGGGCTGTTTTTAACTCTGTATTCATTTGTACTCCCCGTCTTAAAACGTTTCAATAAAATGTGACCCTTTGTTACCGAGATGCGGTTTTGCTGCGCGACCTACAGCGCCCTGGGAGTGCTTCGGAGAAGGGAGGAACCGAGGGAAAGAAGGAGAAGGAAGGAGGAGGCGGTGGCAGCTCCTCCTCCTCCGCGGCCTGTCGCTCCGCCCCGGGGCCCAGCGGCATGGCGGAGGCCGCGGCGCTGCGGGCCGTCAGGGGCTGCCTGGCCGCCTTCCCGCGGGAGGCCCGCGGTGAGCGCTGGGCCGGGCGGGGAGCGGGAGGGGGCCCGGGGTGCGGGATGGAGGCGGTGGGGAACGGCCGAGAGGCAGCGGTGGGGCCCGGGCTGGGCCCTGCCGCCTCCTTGGCGATCCTCGGGTGCCTCGGAGACGGCATGGGCTGAACTGGAGCAGCCGCGGCCCTGCTCTGCTCTCGGCCGAATGTTCCTGAGGTGAAGAAGCAGCAGAAAGGCTGCCGCGAAAGGAAGCTAAACTCGAGAAAAGAGGCCTTTCGGGTTAATTTCCTGTGTATGAAACAGCAAAACAGCACACTGTCGCAGCTTCCAAATACCCTCCTGTGGTATTGTCTGTGTCAGACGTGCATCTCCTGTAACATGTCCTGTGAAGGACATACTTATATATCATGCCCGCTCTCCGGTCAGCCCACAGCATGGCTGCCTGTGGATGAGCTGTGCCTGACGGCAGAAGAGTAGCAGAGCGGTAGCCTGGTGTACCTGCCTGGCCTGAAACCCTCCCTAAAGACTTTTGGGTTTTAACAGCAGTTTCTGGGGCTGAGAGGACATGGCTTGCTTTGAGCGGAGCGCCTGTGGTGTGGGGTTTGAAGCCTGTTAGTGTGCTTGCAGGAGGTGCTTCTCTAAGGATGCTTCTCTAAGGATCTCTAAAGCTCTTTGTCGTTTGCCTGCGCAGAGCTGGGGTGGACAGAGTCCATACCCTATCTTGATGGGCCTCCGTCCCCGCTGGAGTTTTATCGGGAATGGGTGAGTCCGAATAAGCCTTGTATAATTCAGAATGCCATCAGCCACTGGCCGGCCCTGCAGAAATGGACCTCAGTGTACCTCAGGTATGAATGAGCCTTGGAGTAGCACTCGTGGCCAGCTTCGGTTGACCTCAGTAGGAGGCCCTTGGTTGATCTTCACTTTTACATATAAGATTAGCTCAGATTCCTCTGTGCTGCTTCTATGTATGAATGTATTCAGCCTTGCCCAACTTGTGTAAATTTCTTCCTGCAGACACCGTGTCCTGACCAGCTCCCATGCAGGCAGAAGCATGGGTTTCTCACTGTGCAGCAATACACTATTGAAACAAGCAATACAGCTATTGAAACCCATCCAGCCTGTAGCCCCCCAGTTGGAGTGGGGTGTTAGTGGTAGAATAGAAGAAGAGACTGACTCGGTTTTGACTGAGTACTAATTGTTTAAAAATCAGAAACCAAAACAGAACAATGAGACTTTTAACAATAACTGAATTTTTGAAAGAAAAGTTCTTTAAAGGGGATTTATGGTTAAACCTGAATCTGTGAATTTAAAGCTAAATCTCTTACAGAACTAAGGGCTGTTAGCCTCATGATGTGTGTATCTATCAGTCTATGTCCACATCTTCTTCCTCGATTGCTTTTGATGTGGCCACCTGGATTTGGCTGGGTTGAGTGGTCCCAAGACTATCAAGCTCTGCCATGATTTGTTAAAAGAAGTGGCTGCAGAGGGCCCTCTGCCTGCATGGAGGAATCATGGAATCATCATAAAACAGTTTGGGATGGAAGGGACCTTCGAAGCTCATCTAGTCCAACACCCCTGCAATGAGCAGGAGCATCTTCAACTAGATAGGGTTGCTGAAGATGAGGAAGAAGGAGCTCCTTTGTGAACTTGCTTGTTAGGAGAGGAATAAGAGAGGCTGAAGTACTCTTCACTCCAGGGAGCTCCCTTGACTCCAATACTCCCTTGACTGCAGGGAGCAGTTGGAGCAGAACCCCAGAGTCCTTGCCAGACAGTAAAAAAGGCTTCTTGTTTTTGCTGCCCATGTAATGTGTTGTTTGTAAAGTAACCGGTGTCCAATAGATGGGCCAAGTGTAGGTCTGGCTGCAAACCTTTGATTTGTTTTGCAGGGAGGTAGTAGGTCCCAAGGTAGTGAGTGTGGCAGTAACACCAAATGGTTATGCAGATGCCGTGTTTCAGGACCGCTTTGTCATGCCAGAGGAGCGCCAAATGCCTTTTGCAGACTTTTTGGACATTGTGGAGAAGAAAGTGACCTCTCCCAACGTATTCTATGTGCAGAAGCAGTGTTCAAACCTCACCGAGGAGTTCCCTGAACTGGTCTGTGATGTGCAGCCTGACATACCATGGATGAGTGAGGCACTTGGTAACCTTATTTCTCCTGTATTCTGTAAATACTTTGGGTGGAGCTTTAAAACAATTATGTGCATGGTGAATGCTTGTTCTTCTGGATGCCACAGCTCAGTTTGGTTTCATCCCCTTAGAAAGTAGAAGACAGAGTGATCCACATATTGGGTTTGGATTACTCTAGAATCAGTATCTGAGTTGTGTATTGGAACTGAAACCATGTTGTGATATTGCCAAATAGCACTTCTTTTCATAGAGAGGCTTTTCTCTGATGTAGAGTCATGTTTCTACTCAGATTCATGCTATTGCTACTGAAAGTAGCATAACAAAGGATTGAAACAACACACAGCCCTACCCCCTGTGCAAAATTACAGATGTTTGTCTCTAGTGAAGCCCTGTTCTGCTTCAGTTGGTTTCTATTTTGCAGCATGGCTTTAAAATGTCAGGGAAAACAATTTACCATGATCTCATCTTCTTTTTGCAACTGTGTGCAATTTCTCTGTGAGCCGAGTCTTACGGATTCAGAATGCGGAAGCAAAGGGTTGCAACCATCAGTTTTGGGATGGATAGTACGATGTCATGAAGTGTGATTGGCGCTACAGTGGCTTCCAGTGTAGAAGGAAGCTGCAGTTGCTCACAGAATGCTCTTTGCAATGAAACCAGGCATAATTATGAAGGAAGTTAAAGGACAGTATTTGGCAGAAAGTTATTTAAAAAACACTTTTAAACATGACATTTCAAATTCTTTCTTTTTTTTGCTGACAGCATTTCTCTATTCCCTAACCATACAGGGAAGAAGCCTGATGCTGTGAATTTCTGGCTCGGGGAATCGGCTGCTGTGACCTCTTGTATGTATTGTCTGGCATTCTAAGTCTTCTGAGTGCTTTCAGTGTGGGTTTAAATGGGCTCATTTTGGGTTGGTGGCTCAGTAGGACTGTGTGTTTTTTCTTACAAGGCAGTTCAACACTCTTCCTTTCTTCTGCACTTCTGCAGCCTCTGCTGCTCTGTCTCTGGGTGCCTCTACCTGGCATTGTGTCATGCAAGGCACTGAGGATTTGCTTTGTTGAATACATTTGCTACAACATTATGTTAATTTCCACTCCCACTGGTAGCAAGAGGAGGGAGCAGCCTGATAGTAAGAGGAGAAGCTGGCACTTTGTTTGCTATAATTTCTGGTGTAGAGAAGGAAGTAATTCTGATTTTTCTCTCTTTCTCCACATCTCTCTTTTTGTTTTTCTCTCAATCCTAGTACATAAAGATCATTATGAGAACTTGTACTGTGTGATATCTGGAGAGAAATATTTTCTACTGCATCCACCAAGTGACCGTCCCTTCATCCCATATGGTACATAATTTACTGTGCAGTTACGTCTGGAGGTTGGAAACGAGGAGACTAAGATGTTGAAAGATACAAAAAAAAAGAAGCATGGATAACATTGTG